ATTTTTGCACGAGCACAGTGACCACGGGTATTATTATACCCGTGAGTAGTAACATTTTGTTTTATTTATTAGATCAGGATAGATTTTCTTGCACATCGCGTTTTTAACAAGATAATATTGATAATTAATATTGTACGAATAAAGTTTTAAAATAATATTTATAATTTAATAATAATAATATAATAATAAAATTGTGATTATATTATAATAATAATTATTTATTATCATATGATAATAAACAATATTCAATTTCACCTGCTTCATTGTACGATTTTCTTTATTATAAACATAAGTTTGAAATTAAATTATAAAAATATAGTTTTGTATTCCTTTCGTACAAAAATGTAATAAATTATATGTGCAAGAAGATATTTCGCGACAGATAGATTTCTGAATCAAAACAACAAGTTTTAAATACTGTTATTACATTTTCGAAAATGTGTTTTGATGAAGAGATCATCTGAGGTTATTTTTTATTAATATTTTATTTAAAATCAATTATCCTTTATTATTAATTATCACAAATAAATTTCTTATTAATTATTTGTACATATATATATTTTTTCCTTATTTAATATAAAAGTCAGTAATAATTCATTATATTTCTAAAAATTTATTAAAACTTGAAGTAAAACGAATAAATATTAAAGAACATTAGTTCGTTAGATTGAAAATTAATACTTTTTTTAGCTCAGGATTTTCAGATTTAACCCCTTCCGTGTTCATTGCCAGGATCTCACTCACGTGCCCAAGTGCTACTTGGGTGAGAGAAAGGCAATGGGCATGATGACCTTAGTTCATAAGTTAATAAAAAATTAGCGATTGACGATGTGTTAGTGTATCGTGCACGACGTATTTTTCATATTGTGTGTGTATGATTAGGCTATGGAATTGCGTCGTTTCAAATTATTATATATTCCATTCACAATTAATCAATCAAATTACAATTTATAATAATAATTTTACATCCGCTATTAAATATTGCGGATTATAAATAATAATATTAACTTATTCTTAAATTATAACAATACATATCGTATCATCCAGTAATCTCGTTTTCTTAGTCATACGTATTATTTTAATCATAACTGTACATAATTACGATTGAAATGCGATGTTTTTATCGCAATTTTCGCAATGGTTGCTAGCCATCGTCAGTCGATTTCAGAAAAATGGTACGTAAAGTTTAGAGTATGCGAGTAGTGTGCCAAGCTCGGGTGTCGGAGGCGTCCCGGGACGTTTTCCCTAGTGTAGGCATTTGCGCCCGAGTATTATGTGTGAGAATCGTGGAATGAATGTGTTGGTATGCCTGTTTTGCCATTTTTTAAATATAGGGCTAGGTAGGTAGGTAGTATACTTCTGGTATGTCTGTTAATTATAAGTAGGTAGGGCCGGGCAGGTTGTCACAGTCTCCGATCGGGTAGGCGCGTTTTCGCGTGACAACCTGTTTCAGGAAATAAAATTTGAAAAATCGAGGGTAAAGCTGAGACGAATGGATTATTACCATTCGTCTCTGGTTCTGCTCGTCGAATTTTTCGAATTCCGTGGTCGCGGTCGTGATTTGGTTTCGAAACGAACGTTATGCTCGAGATTTTGCGCATGTACGGAGAATGATCATTGCGATCGTTGGTCGTTCATGTGCACTCAGTTTCCGCGATTTAGTCATTTTTTTTTCTTTTTTTTCTTGATTTGCGATTAGTGAATCTCGAGCCTAGATTTAAGTTTCAGCGGGCATTGCGCCCGAAGGAGGAAGACCGAAGAGGCCTCGACAAACTGTCGCGAAGAGGGGCTGCAACGAATGATTTCTCATTTTTTGGATTTGTTTCAAGTTCAAAGGATGGGAAGTCATTGTTACTACTTTGTCACTGTGCTCGTTTTAGTAATACGTAGTATATGTTGTATCGTCTGGCCAATTTGCATGCTGGCCCATCGTTCATCCAGTCATCATGGGCAAATCGCGATTTTGCTTTAGTGTTGCGATATAAAATAATCGCGTTTGCTTTAGTGTTGCGATATAAAATAATCGCGTTTGTTTTAGTGTTGCGATATAAAATAATCGCGTTTGCTTTAGTGTTGCGATATAAAATAATGATCGCGTTTGTTTTAGTGTTGCGATTTTAAAAGTATCGCGTTTGTCTTTAAATATTTTAATTATTATATTTAATCTTAAATTGAGATTTGATCTTTCTTTTAATTTTCTAGTATTGTTATTTATCATATTAATATATTTGAAATAACTTGTCATTCATTCAATAAATTTGTATTAAAGTTTTTATGAATTAGTGTTGCGATATTGTTGAATCGCGATTGTTTATTAGTGTTGCGTTGATGAATAATCGCGTTTTTTAAAAATAGTGTTGCGTTAATAAATATTCGCGTTTTTTATAATAGTGTTGCGTTGAAAAAATGCCCAAAGTTTTCCACTGGAATTGTGGAAATATGTTCCTGTTTTTGGACCACCTAATCACCTAACGCAGTTAAAAGAAGAGCTGCACAATGGTGGTTATATAATAGCAACCTCTAATATGGTTGCAGTTCCGCTATTAGTGTTGCGTATAATGAAATGAGTGCATAAATTAATAATTAGTAATTAATATTGCATGCTTCGAATATGTTCTATTTTTTTTTTTGTTTTTTTTTTCTCGGATAAATTGAATTGCATATATAATAAAGCACTCCTCGCGATTTCTTTTGAGAATTTAGTAAATTAGTGTTGCGAAACAAAAAACATATTCCACTCACGGTTTGTTCGGGTTTTCATTGAGTGGATTGAGTGATTATTTTGATGGCTCTTCTAGCCATTTTTTCTTTCTTTTTTCTTTTTCAGCATCCCTTATTATTACCAAAGCATTTGTTTCAAAAATATTATTATAATATATAAATATATTAAATGATAGGTTTGTTTTTTTTATTGAAAATTATGAATTACTTAATAATGATTTGATTTTCTGTTAAATAATAATATGTTTTTTTCAGGTATAAATTGTTGTTTTTTAATAACTAATCCAATAATTGAGATTTTTACAGATATCTTTTGAAGAAAGAATTAGAAGAAAGAAGTATACGTATGTATTGTTACAAAATAAAATTTTTTTCTTGAATTTTACTAAATCTATTTTAAAGTTTGTTTCAGGAACCAGTCAGCTATCAAAAAAAAGTGTATAAAATTCTTCATCCTTTATTAAATCTAAATTGCAATATAATTTGTTTCAGGAACCAGTTAATTATGAAGAAGAAAGTATATAAAATTCTTCATCCTTTATTAGTTTTAGATTGTAATATATATGGAATAATAATTTTCCATATGGAAAAAAAGATTCCTATTAGGTAGGATATTCAAAGAAATTATTTAATTTTTATTTAATTTTAATAATAAATAGGGGCCCCTAAAAATAAAAAGAATATCTTTTATTATATATATATTATTTGGATATTTATCTATCCATTAAATAAAAATAGAAAATTTACGGAATAGGCAAATTAAGTTAGATTTGTATTTATATTTTCAATTAAATTTGATTAGGTAAGTTATTTTCATAATCAAAATAATATATATAAGAGATATTCAATAATAATATTTAATAGTAGAAAATATTTTATAAAATATATTTAGTATTAAGTGCATGCATAATCAAGGGTGTTAATTAAGTAGATAAAATAATATAATGTAGATAAGTTGGATAATGGATAAAATAATATAATGTAGATAAGTTGGATAATGGATAAAATAGTATAATATTTTATGAAAAGCACTTAACATGCTTTTTTTTTTTTTTTTGTGCTTTTTAATAAAATATTGATAGGAATTATATTGATAAGAATGTATTTCTTAATTTAAAAATTAAGAAATATTACTTTAGATTTTCGTGTCGGTTTTCCTTGTAATTTCTTTTGTAGTTTGTTTTGCACAGCGATCAAGAGTTTGAACGTTTTGCAAATGTCTATCAAAAGAAAAATTTATTTAAAAATTAATATTTTTTTGCGCAAAGGAGGGTGGATGGGACGTGGTTAGGGTGGGTCTCCTATCAGCAGCAACCTCCACGAGGTGAGACCTGGGCAATCATTATTATTTGATATATAATTTATAATTATATCATATATAACTAATATTATAATATAATTATAAAATTGTATAACAAATAATATGAGCTAATTGGCTGCGATTAGATTTAGATTAGATTTTCATGTATTATTAAAGTATTATTTGAAGTTATTTAAATAATTGCAATATTTTCATTTTGATTTTTTAAAATTATTAAATATAAACATATATTTTTAGTTTGTTTATGTTTTAAGTTGACTTAGAAATCTTAATTTAGAATTTTTAAATGAAATTTATAAATAAAATAAAAAAATTATATTCTCTTGATAATTTACATATAATATTCTCTTAATAATTTTAAAGATAAAAGTTATATATTTATAAAATTAAAAGTTTTAAAAGTTATATATTTAAAAAATTAAAAAAAATATATATATAGATTTTGTGAATTTAGAATCAATTATTATATATTTCAATTAATTGTTTTATAAAAATTTATATAACCAATATAAATATGCATAATCATTTATATTTTAATGAGAATTCGAAAAATAAAGTTTTAATTATAACTTTGTTTATTTACACATTAAATCTATTAAGATTTAAAATACATGATTTTTGAACAAATTTTGAAATGAAATTTAGGGACAGTAAGAAAAAGTATATATAAAAATCAGTCATATTATTGAGATATCCTAGTGTTGCCATCTATTGTAGAATTTTACAATATATATTGTACAATATATTGAATGTTGAATCTCTATTTTATAGTTAGTCCATGATAAAACTATTATAAATTGTGTTATCTTACTATTGTTTTGATATGCCCTCTATTATTTAGCGTGGAGAATTTAGGAATTAATTTTATTTCCAACTGAAGTTAGGAGAATATATTTCGATGTTTAATTGTACATGATATTTATTTATATTAAAAAAATAATAAAATGTTAATGAAAATTTATATATTTTTACGATAAAAACTAGTAGAATAATGATAATAAAAAGTTATCTTAATTATAAGATTTATAAGTTTTCATATAATATAATTTCTGTATCATATTGATTGTGCATATTTTTATTTGGTAAAACATAGGTTAAATATGACTGAAAAGCAAAAAGTGTTAATTTGTGGAGATGTTGAGGGACATTTTAAATTTTTATTTAATAAAATCGATGCTATTAATAAAAAAAGTGGACCTTTTGATTTTTTATTATGTGTTGGAAATTTTTTTGGTAAAAACAATACAGAACTTGAAGATTATAAAATTGGTATAAAAAATATACCAGTTCCAACATATATTATTGGTGCTAATAGGCAAGCTGATTTAAATAATTATCCAGAGGTAGATGGTTGTGAAATATGTCAAAATCTTACTTATCTTGGCAAACGTGGATTATATACTGCTAGTTCTGGACTTAAAATAGCATATATTGGTGGTATAGAAAATAATTCTTCAGAAACGAAATCTATTTGTTTTGATGAAAATGATGTTATGTCGATTAAGCAGGCTTGCTTAAAAGGTCAACCTAGTTTTCGTGGAATTGACATATTGATGAGCTCTCCTTGGCCAGCTGATGTTACAAATTTAGATCCTAATAAACCAAACTTTAAATATCAAGGATCAAAATTAATTGCATGGTTAGCTGCTCAAGTAAAACCAAGATATCATGTATCAGCATTAGAAGGAATTCATTATGAAAGACCTCCATATAGGTAGATAACAATTTTTAATATTTAAAATAAAACTTAAAAAAAAAAAAATTATTTAAAATAAAATTTTTAGCTATTTATTTATTATTTTAATTTTTAGAAATCAAAGTTTACAAGAAGGAAATATTGAAATTGCAACAAGATTTATAGCACTTGCATCTGTAATGAATAATCAAAAAAAGAAATGGTTATATGCATTGAATCTAACTCCTGTTGATAGAACTCGTTTATCTGATTTGATTATGAAAACTACAGATGAAACAGATACTCCATATCCTAAATCAATGTTATCAAATAATCCATCCTTACAAAAATTGGAACAATTAAAACAGACACAATTTTTCTATGATATGGAATCTAAAGAAACATCTAAAAGATCAAAATCTTCTGAAGGTTCTAATAAAAGATCAAAACCAGAATTTGATCAAGCAAAATGTTGGTTTTGTTTATCAAGTCCTGAAGTTTCTAAGCATTTAGTAATATCAGTTGGTACAGAAGTTTATATTGCACTTGCTAGAGGTGGATTAGTTGAGAATCATTTTTTAATTTTACCAATAACACATCACCAGAGTCTTTCTATTTTACCAAAAGAAGTAAAAGAAGAAATTGAATTATACAAAACTGCAATATCCAAATATTATGCTACTATGGATAAAGTACCAGTATTTTTTGAACGTAATTTTAAAACATCTCATTGTCAGTTACAAGTTGTACCAGTTCATAAAAATCAAATACCAGCTCTGAAAGAAACATTTATGGTATATATTTTTAATGATTGTTAGATAATATAAACATATATTATATATATATTAATAATTATTTTGATAATATTTTTGTTTTAGGAAATGGCAGAATGTAATAATTTTAAAATGTCAGAATTAGCTCCACATACTGATTTGCAACAAATTGCAAAACCAGGTGTTCTATATTTTTATGTAGAATTACCAGGTAGAGAAAAATTATATTATAGAATAAAAAAAGATTTTCCACTTCAATTTGGTCGAGAAGTGCTAGCTTCAGACAGAATATTAGATCTTGATGACCGAGCTGATTGGAAAGATTGTCAAATGGATGAAGAGGAAGAAATTGAATTAGCAAAACGAATTAGAAGAGAATTCCAACCATTTGATTTAGATTCTTAAAAATATATAAAAATTCAAGAAAATAGTATTACAATACATGTATATATATAAAATTTTTTGTAAAATATATAGATATTAATTTATTATTTTATAAAAATAATCAATGAACATAGATATTGTTCTTAATTGATAATTTTATTATTTTCTCTTTAGAATTTTAGTTGGATTTAATTCATTTAGATATACTTTTTTTTATTTTGGCACTGCAGCTGGATCTAATCCACTTAATTTCATTTGTAAGGCAATATCAAGTATATAATCATAACATTCAGCCCTAAAAAAAGAATATGTTTAATAGATAAAAATAAAAAAATATTCAACAATTAAGATCAAGTTAAAATTAAATTACATACATAGATTTTGCTTGTTGCCATGTATCACCCCAAACATAAATACCATGTCTTCTTACTAATACAGCACAAGTTTCTGGATAAGTAAGAATAACTCTTTCCAATTCATATATTAAATCTTCTTCAAATGGAGTATTTTCTATTATTGGTATCATTAATTCTTCATCATAACGATATGATCTTTCTAATTGTTGATTTCTTATACCTGTATTATGCATTTATTTATTTTCATAAATAAATAAAGGATTATGCATTTTACTTACCTTTTATCATTTCTAAATGGGTAACACGAAATTCTTCTCCAGGCCAATGTAACGTTACCATTACAGCAAATTTTGAATGACTATGAATTACAGCTCCAGCATTTCTCCATCTATATATGCACATAAATAATGGAGTGCATTGTGACTTTTTTAAATTTTTCTTTATTGGCAATTCTATATCATTTCCACTAATATCTTGTACAAATAATTCATCTGGACAAATGCGTTCTTTTTGAACCCCAGATGGAGCAATATAAATTTTTTCTCTGTAAGTATTATAAAATATTAATCTATTATATATTTTTTAAATTTTATAAAATATGATAATAATATTGTAACCTATATTTAATAGATATTCCTCCACCAGTACCAGTTACCCATCCTAGATTGTAAAATTGTTTACACAATTCAGGAATTAAAATTCGTGGATGTTCCTAAAAATAAAAAAAATATTAAAATTATGCATTAATAATTATTATTTTTATCAAAAAGTATTTTAAATAATACTTTATCATAAAAATTATATTCCGAAGACATGATAATTAATAACTGGAGAACTTTGAACTAATTTTTCTGTTTTTTGCACGATTATTAATTGTTATCAATTCAGTGGTCACGATTATAACACGATATGTGCACGTGCATTAATATATAATTTGCAATAATGCATAAATTTTTAATAAATAAGTATTGTTGTTAGAAGAAAATATCGATATAAGATTTATTTTTTTTTAACACAATATAAATTTTATTTATAAATATAATACAGAAATTATAGTTGATTTAGTAGTTTCAATATTGATACAGTCAAGTAAAAATACAGTACATATAGTAAAATATATATGTGATGTGTTTATGTATATGTTTATATCGTGATATAAAAATTTGATGCGAAACTATTTGATTTTTTTTTTTAATTTTAGTGTATATTAATTTATAGACTTATGTTAAAAATATTAAGATATAATACTAAATCATATTTATTGATTTCTTTAATTTTCTATGTTAAATTATTTACATAACCTATAAATTTGTCAGTCAAATAATATGGCTACCTGGATTACAGTGACTCCGCGGTAGTATTTAAATTTTAGAATTTTTATAAAAATTTATCCCAATTAGTATTATTTTATTCTTAAATATATTTAAAAAAAATTCAAAATTCATAATATAATATAGATTCTTTTAATCATAATATAATAGATCTTTTTTAATTGTCTATCTAATTCAATATTATTTGATTTAGGCTTGAACAAGGTTTGAAAATAGCAAATCAAATAGACAACAGTAAATTTCGCTTATTAATAAATCGTATTTGTCAAACACTTCAATCCAATGTTAATACAAAAATATTCAATGAAGAGGAAGAAGAAAAACTATTAATTTCTTTGGATTTAAATAAAAATGATTTAGTTTGTCTTTTAGATACAATAATATTAATTTATAAACAAGCTGCTTGCAATATTGTAAAACCACAATTAATGGAAAGTACTTTAAAAAATACTTTTAAAACAGATGATGATAAATGTTTAATATTTTTAAATGCATGGTTTACATATGGTAAAGGTATAATTGATCATTTTAGACAAATGTCTATATTTCCTGTTCAGGTATGTTATAAAATATAAATATAAATAATTGTAAAAGATATTAATATTCTTTTTATATTAATTTATCTTATTTCAGGTTAAAGATATTGATTGGAGTTTAAATATTCAAGCTGCATCTTCAACTATTAAAAAGGATGTGCGACCAATGGCATTATTGCAATTAAATTTAACAGGAGAAGACGAATCTAAATTAACATTGGAATTTGATAAAAAAGAACTCATAGATTTATATCATAATTTAGAAAGAATACAATCACAATTGGATGCTTTTAAATAATAGGTAATTATTAATGTTTATAGTCATTGTAAGAAAATACTTTATTATATGAAATATATTTTCTGATATTTTATATTTGTTTTCAATATTTTTTATTTATTACATGTTATTAGATAATAATACTTTTAAATAAAGAAGAAATTAATTTCTTATAAATGTTTATTCAAAATACAAGCTAAAATTTTATGATAATATTTTTTTCATATTCGAATATTTTCATACTTTGATGATCTTCTATATTTTCCAACGCGTTCGTATAAATTTGGACTTCTATTAGGAAGAATATTCTCAATATTTGTCATATTTTGATCATGTTGCTCAGAAACTTGTATATCTAATTTTGTTCGATTTTCGATATAATGTCCATTGTTTAATTGCAAAGTTTGTTTTTTTTCCGATGTAGATATAGTTTCTAAAACTCGTGATGACTTTCTGACAAATAAACGTGTCTTACAAACTACTAAAACAACTATAATAATCATCAGAAATAATGTTAATGTTGTCAGGGCACCAACTATCCATCCCAATTTTTCATCTGTAACAAATTATTAATTGAACAAAATTAATCAAAATAATCAGATTAGTTTTGATTGAAGAACAATATAATTAATTAAAATATAATATAATTTTTTATAACAATATAATTTTTATAATTTTTTTTTTTCTTATAATGTAATTTAATGAATCTAATAATATACCTCCAGTACTATTTAACAGAAGAAGTGATGCATTGCCTATTTCTTCATCTGTGTGGGGAACAGTGAATTTACACATCCATTTCCCTAAATCCGAATAATTTGGTTTAAATTCTAAGGTACATACACCTGTATTATTATTCATCTGAATATTGTGCCTAAAATTTATAAAAAAAAAAAAAAGAAAAAGAAGAATTTAATTACATAAGCTTTTAACTTTATTAATTTTAAATTCAAAAAAGAAGTTACCTTTTTGTTCCATTCTGATAAATATGGATTTTTGGCGCATGGATCCAGTGACACAGTACTTCTGATAACATAGTTTCTACTTTGCACGAAAGAGTAACCATTTGATGGGGCACAGCCCACAATACCACAGTCACTGGTTCTAAAAATCATTAATCTTTTCTTTATTCAGTGTTTGGTTTAATCGATTTATTCCCTTTCCTATCCCAATCACCGAAAGCGATGATGATGTTCCTTCGGTAGTGAGAAATTTTTCCATAAACATATATTGATACATGTGCATTAATTGTGCACAAGCAATTTTCATGTGATATATTTTTTGTTAGATTACAGTGAGAAAAATGTGTCAATGTGTAATGTATGTTGTATGGCATAAGGTGTATTATCTTAATTATTATCTTAATTAAAATATTACATTTCTATTATACAATATTTTTAAAAATATCATTTAATCAAATAAAACATTTTAAATTTGTTTTTATGATAGAAATTTGAGTATTCGGTGTACGTGTATTTGCATTAAAGACGATGGGAATCAGAAACAAGTTGCAATGATGTTTTCGTATTATTATTTATTTAAAGAAATGGTTTACAATGCCGGAGAGACACTCAACGCGCACGTACGATCCACCGATTACACCTCGGTGCAGATTCTTGAATTGTTCATGTTGGAAACTTAACAGTAACTCAATGGCACACGAAGGTAGGTAATTAATTAGCTTCGAACGAAAGCGTTTGATCATTGCACACGATCTGTACCGAGTTTCCTATGAATTGAAACTTTTCAAATCTTAATATCGTTAGATATTACTTTTGTATTTTTAATAATTATAGAATGATTCAAACAACTGATTCAAAGTAATTATTACTTATTAATTATTACTTTGCAGGTGATCGAGTGACAGCAATGAAAACGCAATATTATCCGAAACGAAGATAAATATTTCAAATGGGACGCTTAACAGTAAGAATTGTCTTAGCGTTAATTTTAACATGTGGCTGTTATATATAATGAGCATCAGCAGTAAAGTGGATATCGTAGTATTCTAATAAAAAAAAAGAACCTGTTTCTTCGTGAAGTTTTTTTGTAATGTCATCGGCACGTTGACTTCTTATTTAGCAACACGTTGGCTATGGGATCAGCCAACTGATTCGTTAACGGTTCCGTAACGAGTCTAATCATTATTAGCACACTGGAGTCTCTTAAACGATTTATTTCGCTTAACAAATAAATATTCTTAGTCTTAAACATTAAACTTCTTACGTGTAGTCTTTTTAAATAATTACTAGCTAATGCGTCTCGAATGCAACGTTACGTATTAAAACGAACGAAGAACGTGAACGCTCTTTCCCTGGTTACTTGCAGCAGGGCAATCTATTCTGCTGTTCGTCAAATTGTCTTGAATTAATCAGAATTACTTTGAAAAAACTTTCAAATCCATCGATCATCGAGAGAGAGAGAGAGAGAGAGAGAGAGAGAGAGAGAGAGAGAGAGAGAGNAGAAAAGATAAAGAAAAAATTTTGAAATGAAATCTGAAATTAACGGAATTCGATGGCGAGCGTTTTTTCAAAGCTCGAGCACTTTTCCTGTCAATAGTGACTTTCGACAATAAATAATACAAAGAATGACAATAAATGTAGCCAGAGTGCTCGTGAAAAGGCTTACACACACAATACGGTTTCGCGTACCTATTAACGCGGCTACTAACTATGCTAAATGCGAAATCATTTGAGCGTAGACTTGCCGTTGAGCATATAAATAAGAAAGGGTGAATGACATTGAGTGATAGATGTTATTTAATGAGATGTGCTTCTTAAGCGTGCCATATCGACGAGGATAAAAGAACATTACGCTTGAATGTTCGAAATATAGTTTAGTGAGCACAAAAAACGTATTTCATGTAGACTTTAACGAATTAAAAAAAAAAAAAGAATTTAATCGTGTGAATGAAATAATTATTATTGATGGAACAATATTGCCGGATGTGTTATTTAACGCGTTTCTTTTAATACGTATTTTAACATGTGTTTTGCAAGAGAAACGGACAGCATTATTAATCGCTCATTAATTGCCAGGCTTCGGTTAGTCCCGAAATATAACGATCTAATAAATCTTTGTGAAGATTTAGCAAGAAATTACGAGGAAAACAATAACAGATGCGATAAAAACGATAAATTAGGAGAATCTAATGCTAATCGATGCAAATGCGTTGTGTACGGTAACAGTATGCTAGGTAACAAGCAAGGAATGCTATTCTTGTTCACGAACGTAACAATGGATTCCTCGCAAGAAACAAGAAAAGAAAATGCGAATATAAAAAGTCGTGTTTTAACAGAAGTTGCAGATAAGTAAAAAAAAAAAAAGAAAAAACAGACTTTTTTTTATCGTCTGTCTACCTCTTTTACAATATATATGTATATAAATGATTAATTCATAGGCCATAGAACGAGGTAGACATCACTATGAAACTTGAAATCGTCATATAGAGTCCATCACCTCCGCGATGCCTTCACCCACAACAGTCTTCGAAGAACTTACATGCGATCTATACTAAGATTGATGATGGATCATTATTTTCGTTCTTGCTACAAATTCCTTTAATTGTGCCTGTGCGGCCTTCAATTGTACATTCTAAGAGACTTTGTGATACATATGACAGCGCGATCGATTTCGCTTATCGTTTTGAAAGTTAGCCACTGTTTCTCCATGTATTTTCCCAGTGATGTTTCTTTCGAACGATATCGATCACAAATACTAATGTTTGTTATACGATACATCATGTATACATTGCAAAGGATGAGTCACATTACTATTAAGTATCCAGATATATTTGTGAAATATGAATATCGGAAAAATGTCATTTATATTAATTTTTCTATATATCTATGTATTTAAAAAAAAAAAAAAAGAACAATGGAATTTTAAAATTTATTTATTTCTCTTTGTTTTTTTTTTTTTTTAACGAAGCTGTGAGCGAAGCAAAATGAGCAATATTAAAAGATACGCATCGCTATACTGTCACAACGATCATTAATATTATGGTTTCGTAAGAGAAAAATCTTAGTGATGATTATCGTTGATTCATCAGAAAGAATGCCATCATTTTACACCAAAACAACAGAATATTCCTTGACGCTCGTTCGTCGTCTCAAGAAACAAATTAAGATTTTTTTTTTATCGTGTCGAAATGTTTCTTTCGACACAATTTCTCGATAATTAGAATCCTTTCTCCCTGAACTATAGTTACAGTTCAAGTCGAACTCGACTCATCGTTGTTTTGCTAATATATGTATACATAATGTACGCTCATGCTATACACAGTTTTGGATCTATGGCCGATCGACGACCACGTCTCGAAATTACTACGAGTATCGCGAAGCGAATAGGTCGACCACAGATCCGTGGAATCGGTGAACGATTTGCTTTCTCTACACCCTCACCCGTGAAAGGAAAGGAATGCCGTGAATCCGTCTCAAGATTCAATGATACCTGGTTCCAGGAGACTCAGCTTGGCCGGAGGTGCGTCCGTGTAGTTTTGTCTGCCGCGTATTCTGGCACCACAGGTCCACAGTCCTTCCTGTTCCGCGAGCGCGTGCGTCAGCCTGACACTACAGTCTCTGGCCTCGCTTCCGGCCGCCGGAAATTGCTTCACCACTACCGTTGTATTCGAGTTCACCGGTGTCAGGGACCATCGGCACTGTTCCACGGCCGAGGAAGTGACACAATGAAGAAAAACGCTTCCACCGGCTGTTATTTGGATGTCTTTGGACAGCTCTGAGAATTTTACGTCGTCTGGAAATAAAACGTGGAAATTGTTAAAATAGAATAAGAAGATCGGAAGAAGGGGTCAAAGAAGAAAGAGTTAGTTCAGTTGGTGAAGAGGCCTCGTTCCCTTGTAGACAAGAGGTGGAGGAAATCGAAGGACGAAAATAAAGATACCTTGCTCGAATACGGTGAGTTTGGCGTACGGCGAGGTCAATATCGTGTTGAGGGAACCGATCGACACTTGACAGGCCCATTGACCCTGTTTTTCGATATACACTTTCGGAAATGTGAAGGAACAGTCTCTACCAAGGTCGCCATTGCTTGGATATTCTTCAATGACGATCTCCGGTTCATTTCCGTGAAGCGGTTTCCAGAACCACGTACACTTCTCCACACGGCTGCTTGTTACGCATTTTAACATGGCTTCCGTACCAACCGGTACGGAAGTGTCCGTCGGCATTTCAACGAAGTTAACTTTGGCTGGAACAAGGAACAAGATGAATCTAATGAATCGAACGTGGTGTTTAATTTTTTGATTTTTTTTTTTCTTTCAAAAAATTTTCCAAGAAATATTGGATGAAGAACAATTGAGAGGAGAAAGATATTTCTTTCTCCTCGATTCGAAACGAATTTTTCCCCCTCCCCAGTTTATACCTGTGGGTAGAAGGCTAACAGTCGCGGGTGGTGCTTCGTGCAAAATTCCATCTGGTGACAATCGAACACCGCACGTCCATAATCCTTCCTCCTCGTACAAGATATTCTTGAACCTCACCGAACAGTCGTGATCAGCGTCTTTGTTCGGATTGAACTTCTTCACTAACAGAGGCTCTTGACTCGAGTTCGAAGATTTCCAAGACCATTCACATTGTACTACCGGCTTGTTTACCAGACACCTGAGAAGCACGGATTCGCCGGATGCCACTTGAATTCCTCTAGACAATTGTACGAATTCGACTGCAAAAAACAAAATCAACGCCCGTTTTTTTTTATCGCGTTACGAAATATTTTACAAACTTCTTTCATATACACGGATACCCGTGTATATAAATTGCAAGGAAAAATGCGACAAGAATTTAAATTTCGACTTATCCTTCTTCTCTCACCTTCCGAAATAAGAAATCGTATGGGATTGGACTGCGTGAAGGAGGAATTCGGATCGATTCTGGCACCGCATGTCCAATATCCTTCTTGCTCGGGCAACACGTTCTTGAATTTAATACTGCAATCTGTGCTGTCGTTGCCGAAAGCTGGGAATCGCTTCACCTCGAGGTTCCACGGCTGCGATTGGTTCAACTGCCGCCAGGACCATTGGCATTCACGGACAGGTGATTTCATCTGGCACATTATTTGCGCCGAGGATCCTGCTGGGACCTCGACGATGTTATCAAGCTTCGAAAATACGATCAGGGGACCTAGACATTTATAAAAATATTAACATTAATATCCGCCCCTGTCCGCTCTTCTCTTCGCGTTTTAATTATCGCAGCCGATGGATAAATTTCCAAGGAAGAAATTGAAAAGGATAGAAGAAACAATCAACATTCCATACTCTGGTGCTCATTAACGATGCTCAGCTTGGCGGGTTCCGTGCTGGTGAAAGGATCATTCGTGGAAGTTCTCGCGGCGCAGGTCCAGTATCCGGTCTGCTCGTGCTTCGTACTCGAGAATCTTACGGAACAGTCGTTGCTATTGTTCCCGAAGGCAGGAAATTGTCGTACCGGCAACGGATTTGTAGTCGGCGTGGTTGTCGTCTGAATCATCGAGACCGTGGTGGCTATAAATTACAAGAGGAGCTGATAATTGCGCGGGACACATGAATGCCGCGGAAAACAAAAGAGTTGTATCGAAAGATTGACTCATCATCGAGCTTGTATTTGTCGCGATCGAAACAAATGGAACGATATCATCCGTCTTGATCTTTTTTCAAATCTCGATCTCAACAACAATATATGAAACCAGGACGAAGCCATTCTCGAATGAATTCTTTCGATGAAATTTTCCAAAAAAATAAATAGGCCCCTTCGTTGGAGCTCTTATAAAACTCATGCGTTAAAGATTCGTTAAAGATTCTTTTCATTCAAATCATAAATGAATATTTTACTTTGGACAAAGTTTGTTCGATTAATTGCAAAAAATATTTTCAAAAAATTATATTGATAACTAACTGGTCGCCGGAGTTTCACTGATATCCGGTAATGGGAGGTGAACCGGAGGCAAAGGTTGCCAGGACCATTGGCACTCTGCCACAGGATTAGCGGTTCTGCACGCTAGAAGCACGGATGAGCCGAGTTCCGTCTCTATGTGTTCTGGAACGTCCACGAATATCACTGGACTCGGCGGAGTTTTCGTTCCTGGCAAGATATCGTCCATCGAGTGGCCCTTGATTTCGGGATCGATGGAGATCGCGGTGATCGTCGTGGACTTGATCGTGGTAACTTCATCAGTCTCTTCTGGCACAGGTACACCTGTGCGAACAGATAATCAGAACGATTAACACAGCAAGTTAAATATAATTCAGTATATAAAATATACGGAATTTATAATTCGTTATAATACGATATTATAACATAGTTATGTTGGAAGCGCGTTTAGTAAGATCGTGGAAAAGGAAAGTCACATATTAAAATGGCCCGTGTGAATGTTGCTTCATAGGTCGTCAAACGTGTTTGAAAATTCCACAAATATTTTAAATTCCACGACAATGTGGTATCAACAATACGATCACGTCTCTTTAAATTGCCAACTGGTCTTACATATAAAAGTTTTCGGAGATATCGTCGAACGAAAGGATTCGTTATTGGAATACGTTATTGGAATTTAATTGCGTATTTAGTTTAAATAATTTTCCCGGCCCGATACAACAATATATCTGTTGTATCATTGTTTGGATCATTAATACAAGAATTATTCAGTCGGAATTTATTGGAATTATATTATTCGTGACGAAAAATTGTTTGCTCGAGACTTTTTGATCAAGATTTTTTGCAAATTTTAAGAAAAAAAGAAACGAAGATTCGAGCAAGCTGAGCGTTTCCACGATGAGCGACTTCGTGATCCGAAGGAACTCGGTTGAACATATGTAGGACACATCGGGCAGGAAGCTACGACAGTCACGTAGACAATCGCCTTGCGTCGCGCGTCTCTGTCGCCATGTGCAAATAGAACCAGGGACGGATCGATAATAAAATATTTGTTAAAAGGGGGAACCACAAAGAATTAGCGTTGTAAAACTCGCCTCGATGCGATGCGACGAGAATACCAAATCATCGTCCAATTCTGTAACGAGTTGCACGATCTCATTGGCAATCTATCGAGTTTCGATGATTTCTTCGTTCCTTCGTTTTCTAACACTTTCTTTTCGGATTTTTTATCTTCGAGTTTCATCTTGAAAATTTTTACGACCGCGCTGCATCAACGCTGGGATCTTTTGGACTCTTTGAAAGGACGAGTTAATAATTAAAAAAGGAAAAAAGTTTTACTCGAAGGAGAATTGCAGCCGTATAACAAAATTCTCGAGGTGGTAATTTTCGCGAGGTGGTATCATTAATTTAAAAAGCCGCGGCCATATTTGTCGGCGGCGGACGATCACGAATAAATTTCTCTGAATGAAAAAGTTAACGTGTGCACCGTTGTTCCACACTTTCTACGTGGCCACGGTATGTAACACGCGTCCATGCCGAACTTGGTCCTTGGTACTTATTGTCTCGTTACGTTCGCCATGCGTGGAGCTCGTCCTCAAGACGAGTAAAGGTGGTCGCTGACACTGGAAGGTCGTTTCCCACTTTACATTGACACACTCATCGGCTCTGTGATTTTACGAGGATACGTGTTGCTTTTGCATATTGGTATATACGTATATTGGTAGCTGCTAATATAATTTCATTACATCTGTCGTTTATAAACTTCAAAATTTATAGCTTTCGCGTAGGATAAACGTGAGATATCGCTTTGCTTCCTATGTAGGCAAACCGCTGATGACAATGATGATTCAAACGCTGCTTGTGTGATTACATCACACTGTATATAATTTACAATGACTATTATTGTACAGTGTGTCTAAACAGATTTTATAAATGAGCGATAATAATTTAACGAAAGTGGATTAGATATTTGCGCGGAAAAGAAAATCTAAGAATAAGATTTTCTTTTATTCCGCGATATTCGCGAAATAATAATATACTTATTAAGGGTTAAATTAAGTGAAGTTGAGAAGAGTTAAGAATAATTTAATAAATAAGAGAGACAGAGAAAAGGAATTTTAAAGGGGAATAAATCGAATATCCGAGATTTTCGTTGAAAAACTTTCACTCTGAATAACAGTGATTTCCATACAATATGATTATTAAGCCATCATTTCCTTGTTTCTCGTTTTTATCGAGTATTAAATATTATTTTATGTGTTTTAAAGTATTGCCTGGAACTGTGACACGGCTACTCGGCATCCTTCATCATTTGACTTCGCGGTAGTGAACCGTGAGAATTATTGCATAAGGTAGTATCGTGTGTACAGGTGATACCAACTGATGTAATATTAATAAATCCAACGCAGTATACGGCTTTGGCCAAACTATTTCGCTTCCGTCCCTCCCCTTAAATCAATTAAAAAGTTTTTAAATCAATTAAAAGAGATTTGAGTAACCTTGTCACTCAAAACAACGAACATTATCGCGATATATATCGCGATATATATTGAAATATATATATATATATATTCGTAACAAAATTATTCGAAACGATAGAATAAAGAGGAGAAAGAACGAAACGGAAGATCGTTCCCGCAGCATCTAACCCAGGTCGAGTTCATTCAGCCAGTCCAAGGCCATCATTTACTTTCTTCCATACTTTCTTACTTTCTTCACCGCGTCCTTGAATACTCCGCCACGTAATTTTCGATCGTTGCCCGCCGCGATTCATCGATGTCCTCTCTCTTTCTCTCTCTCTCTCTCCGTTTAATTTTAAATCCGTGTATCCTTGATACATTACACCGCGTATTTAATTTACATATTTCTCCTTCGATTCGTTCCCTTGTTCTTACCATTCTACCATACGATACCATTCTACCCACCCGATCTTTTTGTGGGTCGATCGGTGGTTTTAACGGTCGATTGGCCGCAAGTGGATAACGACGCCGATTAAAACATCGGCATTTCGAGAATTCGAGCTGCCCGTCCCGGATGTATCTTCCCAGGTATCGCCATGACTAATTCCACAACAATGGAATCCCATCCCGAGATTATCGACCGTAAGAGACAAGGCCAGCCATTTCTTGCGGCCGAGGAGGAGGAGCGGCTACGAGTTGAAGTAGGGAAAGGAGAGGAGAAAAAAGGAAAAAGAAAAAAGAGGATTCGACTTGGAGGAGTCCGTCTCGAGTCGAGAAGGATTTCGTTCTTGCAATTAAGAAAAAGTCGTCGATAGACGCGCAAACCAACGGCCGTTAACCCGCCATCGATGTCTCGAGGAGGACAATTAGTGAGACCAGCCGATTTCTTTTCCCACGTAGACGCTACGTTGTGAAACTCAAAATACGTCCGCTGGGCGTTGCCTTTTCCGTTGTGAAAACGACAACGAGATCCTTTCGACCAAATTTCTTTCTTCGTCGAAAGAGAAAAAAAAAAAAAAAAAAAAACGAGCAACGGCCGCTATGATTTCAGGGAAATCGAATTTTTCGAAAGTGTTTCGAATTCAGCATACGAGGATACGAGCGTACCGAATTTTCAGGGACAGTTGGAAACTATTTTAAGACTATTATATATTTTTCGAGAATGTATAATACATGTGTGTATACATATGTTGACGGAGTATGCAAAAGTTTAAACTTGTTAAGAATATTTGGTTAGTATTTTTGTATAGCCAATATGTACACAGTTTGCTCGGTACAGAACGGAAAACCGTATATTTGCGACAGGATTTCGAGAAACTGTGTTTCGTGGAATGCGTGTAGATAACCGTCCTCGGTAATCTAAAATATTCCCGGCAAAGCCCGGAACGATTATTAACTTTTGACGCGCATACTTTTCAGGTGACCCACTTAACTGTTCCTGCAGTGAAATCAGTCTTTAATTATTCCTCGCCGGAATGAAGGTATCCACGATTGATATGCTTAGGCAGAAAGCAAACTGTGTAAAGCTATATATATAAGATCCACTTGAACATACGGTATAGAATAATGGGGGGATAATTGCTTCGTTAAAAAGAAAAAAAGATAAAAGTAATAATTTATAATATTTCCATCTGGTACAAATAAATTCCGCGTGACATATTTTTCTCGAATGATCTACAAAGAAGTGTTTCTAGATTCATTAATTTAGAAGAGGAATTCTTTATAAATATAAAAAGGAATATAAAAAGATATTAGAAGAGTTGGAGATAATTAAATAAAGTTATTAGAGAGATAGAAATCTTTCCAAACAAAAATCAAAGCTTCATCGAACATGGGATCATTAAAAGAAGAGATGGAATAAAACAGAAATAATTATCATTTCATCTCGAAAATATTGGATATCGAAACTCGTTTAATCAAGTTTCTCTCAATTGAAGTCACTTGCTGTCCTAACTCATTCTTGAGCATTAAATGAATCGTACATCGAAAGGAGAAATATATACGTGATTAAAGAATTATAACTGACGCAAGACTTTTTAATTTTTCGTATGAAATCGAGTTGCTTCGACTCTTTCAAATTCGCAACGTGTCTTATCTACACGCACAAGAAGAAACATTCAACGAATAAATTATACACGTTACCAAGTTTGAGAAAAATGGAAAACAAGTGAACGTTATTTAAAAATGATTTTCTTGTTCCTTTGATTAATTGAAAATTAATCTAATAATTGATGATAATCGATGACCGTCGTTTCATTTTCGGTAAATACTTTTCTCTCTCTTTCTCTCTCTGATTTTTAACAAGGATGAATAAGAAGAAGTATCGTTCGAGGAAACGATTGTCACGGTCAAAATTCCTGGAAAGGTTTCGAGCGCATTCCCGAATTTTTTTCTTCTTCTGAACAGGATTCACAGGAGAAAGCGTTTCGAAGAGATAAAAAAGGATTTCATTATTTCAAGATGTATTTTCAAGGAAAGATGATTTTACAGAAAAAAAAAAAAAAAAAAAAAAAATTGAATATTTCTTCGTTTGAATTCTCCTATACTTTCTTCTATTCTAAGAGCTGCTTAATGCCATGGGATCTCGATTAACCGGCTTAATCGACGCCGAGGCAGACCGGTTAAATCGAGACTTGTGGCGATCGAATTACTTTAATCCACTTTATGCACGTCTCCTTACAAACGTTATGAATATATCTCGATTACTCGTTGTATCGAAATGGTGATCTGCAGGTTTGTTAAACGTTTAAAAAATTATTCGTATATCCATTATTTTAAACACATTGATGATTCGTGAAATGAGGATGAAGACGCGAAAGAATTCCACACGGATACGCGATTAATCCGAGTCGATCAAGAAACCACAAGAAACGGAGAGTTTCATCGACTGAAATTACTTCTTCTCTCAGAAGCAGCTCATATTTCTCCGCATGCCGTTTCTTTCACTCGACTCTATCTATTATTCGCATCTCGCATCGTGACGAACAGATTCTCGAGAAATATTACAAAATCAGCTCCGGCTGGCTACGTGTTCGAACGTAGCGGGAAAGATCTCGCTAATCTTTGTCCGTTTTCCCGCAACCGAGATACAAAAACGCATCGTTCTTGATCGGGATTAACCCCGGAAATTCATCGAACTGCATTTCCGTTCCTCGAACTCTTCGGTATATAATCAGTCGCGACCGCGTCAAAAGGAAAATATTGATCGAACCTCTCTTGTTTTTTGAAGCTGCATAAACGGAGTGGAGGAAATCGATATCGAATCGAATCGATAAAAATTTCATTTGATGATATTATTTTGTTGACGCTTGACGCTCGTGTCAAAGAAGGAACGAGAAATGAAAAAGAATTTAAAATTATATAAGTAATTTTATAATCGTGTCTCACGTTGGAGTGCTTGGATTTTTATGAGAAAAAAACGAATCTTTCTTTCTTTCTTTCCTAAGATTCGTTGTAGATATATTACAGATTAATGCTTCGTATCAACTGGACGTGTATCTTGCTTCGTTCCTGAAACATCAAGAATATCAGCCATCGAAAATTCTCCAATACCAATTTTCCCGTAGAAAATCTCGATGCCATTTTTTTTTAAGCAAAAGAAATAAGAATTTTAATTTCTTTGACAATTTTTCGAACAAATATGACTACGACGAATCGAATGATCGAAAACAGTACAGCAGAATAGCTTTTCTTCACTCTTTATTAATTAAAACTTTCTCAGAAAAACTCTCTCAGAAATTAATAATTAAAGTATACCAATAAAGTATTTTTCACGTAATATAAATGGAGAAAAAAATTGAAATATTGCGAGTATCGCGATGAAAATGAGAAGGAAAAGGATAATTTGAAATCGAGCGCGTCCATGGAATGCATAAAATTCATCGGCGTGGATCCTACAACGGCAGGATCGTACAATAGTTCCCATGCAGGTTCCTACCCTTCCTCACGTGTTTGCATTCCAGAGCGATGTTTCACTAAATGCATGCATTGCATCGAGTTTAACCACCCTCCGCAGAAGAACCAGTTCTTTCGGCCCGTCGTTCCTCGCCCATTCCACGGATGTTTTAAAAAGCATCGAAAAAACGATCGACAAAAAGATCCACCGCTGCCAAAATTCTGTGATATCGGATTATATCAAGTATCCCATCGAAATCACGATCGATATATTTATATCGAACGAAAGTCAAGAAATCAAATCGAGCAAATTTGAAAAATTTGAAAAATTTTTTTATCGATATGATATCAGCGTTTAATTTCTTAGAAATTGCATAATTCAAGTTCAATCGTCTCGAATCAAGTTTCAGAATATCGTTAATCCCCGGGATATGGATAATTTTAGCCACGTATCTCATAAATATTTTTTTCGATTTTTTCTTGTTTCGTTTTCTTGCGATAATCTCAATTTCCTTTCCCATCAGAGATTCGAACGGATTAAATTAATTTGAATTTACACGTAATATTATTACACGACAAGTAATAAGGTTTTTTTATGTGGCTCCGTAATTTCACGCGGTAATTACATGCACAGAGGAGAGTATTTCCGGCGAGTAAACGAACTTCTCTTTCTTCGATGAATCACGGTGCATGGTCCAAGATCTCGAGTTGTTCACGCACGATCGCTTCAATTTGCATCTCGCTCTCGATAAAGAATCGTAGTCGAGATGCAAACATCTTCACGGCAACTTGATATCTGTGTTATTGGATATCTCGGTCCCACTTATTTCGATTCGCTCTTACCCGACGTTCTTTTATAAAATTTTCATCATTCTCTCTCTTTGAACGTTTCAATGGTTTTTCTGCAAATATATGACAATTATTTGAATATCGCGCGCATATCATCTTTCGATCCTTTCCTTTCCTTTCGGTACTCTTTCGATCAACGCGTACATCAGTGTTTGCAATCGATATGAATGAATAGCTTACAACCAATCTTCCAAACTGTACTGCAAATTGATTCAAATTAACATACTCTCACAAACTCGCAAAACAGGGTCAACTATGACGTATACGATAACTGTACGGAATAATTAGAAGATCCCTATCCAAATCAAGTAATCAGGATTAAAAACTCAACTCGTATCACGCTCGTATTTCATTCTGGTATTTCATTCACTCCAATCCTCCAACCTTTCTCCAAAAGAAACGTTTATCTTTGTAATATATATTCGAAACCCGTCACTTGGGAAAAACATCTTTTAGAATTTATGGTCGAAATAAATCCTTGTTCCTGTATTGACTATCTAGAAAATCGAACTCGGAGGATTTATCCGTGGAATTCTCTCTATATTCGTTTAAGAGGAGGAAAAATTTCATCTGGACGCGGCCAATTACATTTCTAATAATCCGAAATCGGCGAGGGGAATCGCGATTTCGTGCAACAATCAACAAGAGGATTCAAAACGGTGGTCAACGTCTCGGTCTGATTACACTTGTGAACACACTCGTCGAGATCGTCGTGATTTCGCCTCCTTTTCACGACGATCGCGAGGCGAAAATCGTGAAGTTTGTTATTTGAGCGAGGCACGCGACACAGTCGACGAAAGTGAATCGAACCTGTTAACACAGATTTTCGCGTGGCCTGGTGGACAGCCGACTTGCGCACGTGCCGCGTTTTTAATGAAACGAAATCATCGAGAGCGTGGAAAGAGAAATGGAGATCCCGAAACGCGACGACGGAATCGCCTTGAGAGCTGGTTTCATTGCCAAGGTGAAGAAACACACGATTTACACACGTTTTAGGGTTTATCGTGAATGAATATATCCTTCGATGCGAGGATTTTGATTAATTTAGATATCGTTTGAGAATGAATGGGTTTGAGGAAAGTATTTTATATAAACTGGAGGAGGATAAAATGATGGAGAATTTTGGAACGAAGAAGGAAAAAGATATAGGAATAATATTTATTGTTTCATTCATAAATAACAAGATATTTATTCATATAAAATTAATTCATAATTAACTCAGATCGTTAATTTGAATAATGCAAGAAGAAAATTGAAAAATATACAAAGATATATAAAGATCATCTATAAAATAATAATTACGTTGTTAGCTTTGAAGTCTTACTCGAAACTATGATTAATTAAAAAATGGAAGATTTTGGAAGCAAATTTTTTGATTAATAATAATAATACAAAAGTGATTAGAGTAAGCTTCTTACGATCTAAAGAAGTTCTATAGAAGTGGAAGATAATTATTCAAGTTTTCTTTTCTTTTCAAATATAATAATGAAGGTTTATTTGATGAATATGTTGAATGAATCAAGGTTTGAAATGGAAGTCGAAATTCGACACTATTAATAGTTTAATAGTTGAATATTACGTGTCAGTGACAGTAAAATCGAATGCCCTCGCACCGATCATTTCGAATGCAACCTCTGTGATGACACTTAAAGGCTATACGAGGCCCTTGTCGAGGTTAAGGCCTTCGAAGTCGTAAAAATGACGGCTTCTAGCATATTAATTTGTCCGTGTCGTCGATCGACCGATATTATTACCCTATTTGTAATCTCGATTCGCTATAAATTTCCGTTCTCATACAATTAATAGCTTCGATTAATTAGTAGACGATCGAAAGTTCTATCGTGGATATTTTATTCACCGCAATTCTATTGTTCCTTGGTTATACGTTGACTTTTACTGGCGGCAAGTTAACGCGCAAAATTTCAATTCATCATCGAGTCAGCCAACGATGAGTACGCGCGAAACTATTTAATCTTATACAAACATTTGCGTCACGCGGTCTGTTTTTAAAACTATCATTATGAAAAAGTGAAACGCATATTATTTATTTGTGGATAAAGTTATCGCCAACAGATATCGATGAACATTTTTTAACAAATGGACATACAACAAATAAACAACAACGTCGTCCAGGATCATAACTTTTTCAACTTTCTATCTTCGTACGAAGCAAAAGTTACCGTAATTTCGATATTTTAATTCACGTTTTTTCCAAATATAACTCTAATCTATCATTTACATCTTTTTCTTAACTGGATCTACCAGTTTTTTTTCTAGTCTTCAATTACATTTCAATTACAAAAACAGCATAATTAAAGTAAATATGATATGATATGTATCAAAGATAGACAATTTTATATATATAAATATATATACCAAAAGTTACATTTTTCTTTTTTAAAAATAAAAAAAAATTGCAAAAAGGCAAAATGGAAAACAAGAATTGGAAAAATTGAAATTCGTACTCACCGTTACACGTGACGACCAAGCACAGCAGTACCAGCCGGATGGACATTTTGGAGAACGCGGAGGACGTCATCTCCGGCACCGCATTTATCACCGTGTGTCCTTGAAAGAGGATCGTAGCCCCGTGTTTCGCAGGAGCGATCGAGCGCGTCGTTACGCACGTGTACTGTCGTCGAAACGTATGGTCGCGTGCGATTTGTACCCGCACGACGATGACGCATGTAAAACCCCCTCCGTTTCACCGTTTTACGAGCGTGTAAACGTTCGCTCTTCCGACGTAACCAACGACTTCGACTTCCACCCTGCACTCCTATCGAGACCTCTCTAATTTCCTCTTAATCTCTCTCTCCTCTTCGTATACGATTCGTATCTAGACCTCGGCTCAGAAAAATCCAACGAATCACCCGCTGGAAATCTTCCTTCCTCTCCTTTTCCTTGGTCCTTTGGTCCTTTCTCTCTCTTTTTCTCTCTTTCTCTCTCTCTCTCTCTCTCTCTCTCTCTCTCTAGAGTTCGAAGAACGAAGGATCGCATTAATACGTTTCGAATACGAAATTTGGAGGGGAAAAAGGGGGACGAGGAATCGGCAAGGATCTGGTCGATAACCGGAAGAATGGATGGAAGTGTGAAAAGTACTTGACCTTCCGTGGATCGCGTGGAAGGGAACGGTGCCGAGAAACCGGTGTGACGCGAGGTAGCCAGAGAATTTTTGTCGGGCTACCTGGCCGCCGAGGCAGCTCTCTTGCTAATTTATGACGTAGTTCCGTTATTGCAACGTGACGTTGATTCGTACGAGTAACCTCCAGCTGGCCCCAAGATAAACGTGATTTATTGTTCCTACCGATTCGTGAATGGAAACGAACGTGACGCCGATACGACAATCTCTTACGGGGGATTGTAAATCGACCGAGGCTGACGACGTTTGTTCCGAGAGTTTCTGGATACGTTGACGAATCGTTTGCTAAAATATAAAATTCCCTCGAAATATATTGGAAGTTTAATAATCGCTTCGATAATTTGCTCGAGATTCGTGTCATTGTTGCTTAAACATTATTTTTTTTTTTTTATGCATTTTTAGAAATTCGAGGGATTATCTTGTATCCACAGTTGGAAGGAACGTTCTTAATAAATAATGGATACGAAATATTGATTATTATTAGTGAAAATAATAACCCGGCGAAGATAATAATCGTTTTGATGGATCGATACGCCAATAAATATAGCCGGTCGATCCGTCGAACTCTACGCGCCGTATAATTTATGAGGGATAAAAATGGTTCCAGAAACGTTGAAAAAACTCGTTTCAATTTGCGACTCAGGGGAGGGGAAAAAAAAAATAGACCGTGCTCAAAAGCTAGAACGACTGGAGGAATGCTCTCTCTACGATCGTTTTAGATATCGAGCAACGTTGACTCATCGTGTTCAACGAGGCAGGAATAAAAAACAGCGTCTGAGCATCGATCAATGAACGTCTACGATCGGTGATCTAGAATCCAGGTTGAGCTCGAGGTGAACGAACAGATCCCTTTCGAAATATTTATAACGTAAACGTTTCATTAACGAGAAAAGAAAAAAGCTCCAATTCTCTTAATAAATAATAATAAAAGAGAACGATTCTCTCGATCAAAATTGGACAACTATTCAAAAATTAAAGTCACGGGGTATACATATACCCCGATCGACAAAAGAAATCGTACAAGTTGGAAAGGGATCGCGGGTTGCACGCGGTTTCGTGTCACAACCGATTACGCTTCCAATATGTCAAAAGTTACTCGAGCATGAAGTAATACTCCCACGTCGAATATATGTGTGTCGCGGCAATTATCATATAATCGGGATCGCGAAAATGATCGGCCCCCGCTAAATAATAAGGATTTAAGAAAGCGGGCAACCGAGGCTGGGGAACGAACGAAGCGAGCGAGCAGCCGAGAGCACGCCCGTATTTCCTTGAACTTTCCACGAACGCGAGTAACGGAATCGGTCGGCTGATTCACCGAGTCTACGAAAATGTATCGAGGCGGCCGACCCGTATTAACGAAACAATCGTTTTATCACGATCGACGGAAAAATCGACGGAACGTTTTTTCGATCCCTCGAGCCGATTTCCCGCGGTTGGCGCGCGCGTGCACGCGCGAGGAACATCCTACGCAAATAGAAAGGCAAAAAGTCGACGAATATTTCGAAAGTCCGACAGAAGAGCGTGCTCGCGTCGTGAATATATCGCTTTCCCTCCCAATTGTTCAAGTTTCACGGAGAGACATGGAACGGTAGAGACATGGTACTCTTCCGCGACCCCCTCTCTCTCTCTCTCTCTCTCTCTCTCTCTCTTTCACTCTCTCATTCTCTCTCTCATTCTCTCTCTCTCTTTCTCCCCTCTCTTTCCCTCTCTCTCCCGTGGTCCTGTGAACCTCGGAGAAGAAAATCCTTGGATCCGACACCGAATTCACACGGTGGATTTACTCACTGTCACTGTGGATACCCCTTCTTGGAGGAGAGGATACCCTCACTGTGCCCGGATCACTCGTCCAAGAGTCATCGACGTGGACGCACGTCGGGTGAAACGCGTGTGGGGAGCGGGGCCGATCTTGGATTCGCTCTAGGCCTTCCCAATTCCGATCGCGGCACAGACTGGAGTGGCGGAGTGCGTGCGGATACGCGCGCGTGTACGTGTGTCTCGGTCGGCGAAAGAGAAAGAAGGAGAAAGAGGAATGGAATCGCGATCTTTCTCCGCAGCGGGGTCCGGTTCCGTGGCACCTGTGTGTGACTCACACTTCGTATCGCGTAACGCTTAACGGCCGTAACTTGGCGGCGTTAAAAAAAATGCCCGAATAAAAGTATGGAAGAGTACGGAGTACGGAAACGGCGGGAATCCCCTTGGAATACGCGGTCGCGTGCTCGACGGTGAGCGCCGTGAGCCGACTGCAACAACTGCAGACGCTAGGACGGATGATGATCGCCGGTCGGCGTCGTTGTCGTTGTCGGTATATCGGTGTCGGGCCGTCGTATATGCGCCTCCGACTTGGGAACGTGCAAGTGGGGGTCCAATGTTACCAGGGTACGCAACGACGCCAGGGGCCCCTACCAGAGGCCGCAGCCGAGACTCGTCACCCGTAACTCCACCTTCCACCTCCCACCTGACTCGGCTCCGCTCATGGGGAAACGCTCCGGGGCTTCCAGCCGCGATCAGGTGTATCCGGGGAATTGTTTCGACGCACCCTTTCGCCGGCTACGCTGCTCTCGCTGCGGGGACCGGGCTGCATCCTCGCAACGATTGGAATGTTGCAGCGTTTCCCGTCGAGCAGGGTTTTGCGCTCCTCCCGTTCTGGAGTATATATATATATATATACGTGACAAAAGCTGTGGTACGTAGCTAGGTAGGGATAACGCGTGACAGTGGCAAATGTTCGACGTTTCTCTAGACCTTGGATATTTCTATTGTTTTACGGTTTTTTTCGATATATCTTTCTCTTGGATACTTTAATTTTTATAGGTTATCTAGATTTTTCGAGCAAATCGTGTAGGCACGGTTTTCGTAATCGATGCAATGGTAAATCTGTTTAAAATCGATTGATTATTCGACGACATGGAATTAGGGGTTACCTTTGACGTTACATCTAGTCATCGGAATAGGCTATTTCGTTTCAAAATTGTTGCGATAACAGTGACTTTACGCGGATCTTCGAATCGTGTGCAAGGAATTCAAGAAATTTCGCTACGAATTAACCTTAAATTTAATTATATTAAGATCGATCCTCTATCTCGAGCTTAGGGGCGAGTAATAATAACGCGATATCGTGACTCGACGTGACGATACGATATTCATACATAGAGACCACCGACTAAACTTGGATTCGAGCCGTCAGTGGAGCAAAGTTTCCTCACTGTTTCACTGGGTCACGATTAATCGTAGTTATTTGCTAAGTATATTATACCTAGGTATGGAATTCAGCTACCGATCGAAAGACACTTGTTAAATGGTCACGTCACCGTTGGAAACGGCAGGGTCGAATGGTTGCAAGGTGATACGCGCTGGTACCGGAACCCGTGAAACGAATAGTCCGCATAATTACGCGCGGTTACCTTTGCCCCCTCCCCCCTCCCCTCCTTCCTCCCTGGTCGATATTTCTATCCGGTTTATCGGTGTCATCGGACACGGGACTTTATCGCGGTGGCTCGCGACTTCTTGTACGCGTGTACACGTCGTATATATACGCGTCGATGACAATCGATATACACGACATACATTTACGCTCGGCGTGCAATTCGACCATGACCTCGAAACAATTGTCCCATTCTTTCGATACGATCTGCAACGCCATCGTTGCGTTGTACACTCCCCCCGTTGTTTCAAAACGAGGGGGAAGGGGGGACAGAAAGAAGGTGACTAACCGATATCCTAACTTGGTGCTAACACTGACCTAGTCGGTAGGATAGGTTCAATAGGTAATAAAAGTGAAATATCAATGGTTAATAATGCGCCCATTGTTAACTATTTATGAGGTTTTCAGTTTTTTTTTTTCTTCTTTTCTTTCTAGATCACGTCTTTTGTAACAGGATATGATGTACGATGTGGTATTGTCGCGCTTTAGACGGATCGTGTATTATCTTTCTCTGTTGATTTGCGAATGGTATGTACGATGAAAAATCGTTCGACAAAGATTTGACGAAGAGAAACGAATCGATCGAATTTTAAAGAAAATTTATATATATATGGACGAATTTAAGAAAACCGTTTTTACTCTTCTATTGGAGTGAGATTAATTTTGTTCGAATCGTTTATGGTTGCATAACGACCAATTCGATCCATAATTTCGCGTTTAATAATCCTATTTATTCGAGTCGAACACGTCATTGGTACCACGGTGAGAAAAATTTAATCGGAAGAAAAAAATAAATAAATAAATAAAATAAAATTGAAAAAGCGGTCGGAAACCGGTATGACGTGTTCCTCGATCTAGCTCGCTAGATTCACGGCTTATGAATGAAAATACCTTATCTGTTCCGTCCGAGAACAGCTCTCTCTCCTTTCCTCCCGTTGGATATTTCGGGGTCGAGTGAGTAATAAAGCCGGTCGATGATTAATTCTGTCATTCCCATTGAGCAACGCCGATCGCGAAACGGTAGGAATTAATCGAATATCTCGGCTCGGGAGAGAAACACGGTTTCTTACTCAAGGAAAACACGGTGGCGCTTATCGTTCACAGAACTGGATTATATTATTATTCGACGATTATTATGGCAAATATGCGAGACGTGTGAGCGACTTGGTCTCGAGAAGTTGTTTCAAAAAGTTTTTAATACGTGCCACGTTTACGTCAGCCACGTCTCATCTCCGACAATGAAAATGTAGTTGCACCTGTACGCGGCTATAATCACAGTATTTGCACACTCGATGACCTTGTAGGTATCCGTATCGCTCTGTGGAGCCTTGAACTTGCACGGTGAAGAATCTGGTACGAACTCGGAGGAAGATCGGAGTCGATCTACCACTCGATCCGCGTCTCGATCCTCGATCCGACGTCTGTCTATTTTTCTCTGTCGACGATTATTCTTTCGTAGATTACGTAATCGAACGATTCTTCCGTGTCTACCCTTTTGTATTTTTCCTCCTCCTCTCGAGAAACAAGACAAATTAATCGAACGAATTTAATTATTATTTTCTTCTTCGATCGAACAATTTTTTTAAATTCCAGAGGAAAATTCTATTTCCTTAGTTTTATTATCAATCTTTATCAATCTTTTCAAAAATTTTCCCGCGTATCGTCGAAACGAAAAACGAGATTGGTGGACGAATTGGAAGATCTTAAAACAGGATTATTAAAATATCTAGAAAAGAAAAGGAAAGAGAAACCTTGAATGCCACAACCCTATCGCGTGCGTTTAAAATTCACCAACATCCGCGCTCTTCTTACCGATAATAATCGTTAACGTGACTCTCGAACGCGAAATTATAACCCAAGAGTTCAACCTTCTCGCAAGGTTAAGCGCGCAAAATCGGTCTGGCGGGCGGTGTGATTTTTTTTTTCCTCTCTTTCTCTCTTTACTCGTTAGTTGCATCGACGCGGCTCGAAGATGATTATCCATAATGGCGCTTCAGCGAAGGCAACAATTGCCAAGACGAGCCACACTGATCACGCTTATCGTTCCTTAATTCCTATGAAATCTCGCGCGTTACGCAACGTGTATCCGTCGACGATCTTTTTTTTTTTTTTTTTTTTTTTTTTCTTCTTCTTCTCGAATGTAGACGCTCTCGACTGAGACGCGCTCGCTTAAGGTCAATGCCAATGCGAATCGATCAAACATTTGACTAACATTCAACCGATCGATCCATCCGATCCGTGATCGGCACGAATCACTTGGATTTGATATTTACAGGAAATTTTCAATAGCGTGTTACGAATGTCTTCGTACATCCTGTCTTACACGTGTGCGATAATTTAGTATTCGTACTTGTATGCTTATCAGAATCTTTGTTCACACGTGTGTTCGCGTTATGGAAAAAATAACGCGAGGACAAGTAGAAATTTTTGATACAACGCGGTAATAGATGTTGGATGATATAACGCAAGCTGGAATCATAATGTAAAAATTTCCAATTCTTATTTACATCGTTCGAAAATATTTTTTCTAAATCAATTTCAGGCAAAATTTCATAATTTGATGAATAATAGCATTTACTTTTTTTTTTTTTTTTTTTTTTTTGAATATATTTACTTTCTTTGCGAGATACATCTCTTATATCCATATATTATTATCCCTCATTAAGTTTCCCTGATTTTTAACACATTTTGAAATGCACACTGGCAATTATTCCAAGGACTTTCGTAAGCTCGTGGGGATTTCGTGATTCGCATTTTCGTGATCAAGTACAACTATAAGAATCAGAGATGTGCAAGGTAATCCGTACGAAAGATTTCTCGCGCGGAAATAGATAGCGCTCAAGGATCTGTTTCTATCCTTCGAGCATTTCATTTCTGTGTGAAAATACGCAGAATTTTCTTATCGTCGTGCATTAATCCGCGCGACTCGATAATCAAGTTGCAACCTCGAGTCGGAGTTGTTATTTTTCGAATAGGAAGCGACCGTTTCCGTGTGCGCAGATACACGCGAGAAAGAAAACGCAAGGAAAACAGCGGAGAAGAAATCTATGGAAGCGAGTGAGCCTGAGTGTCTTTTATTCTTATTTTCTGACTGGCGCCAACTGATCGTCGTCATATCGGATCCGTGCAATTAAAGATTCAATTTTGCCTGAAATTATGGTTATCCAGACTGGGGAAAACGACGTGTTATTACAGGTTTGTTCTGCCTGCTCTGTTCTTCTTTTGCTGATGACTTCTTTTGATTTTCAGGTAAAAATAAAAGAAAAAAAAAAACAAAGAAGAAAAAAAATAAAAAATGTTCACTGAACATTTGTCGAATATCATTTTTCGTGATGGGAATAATTAAAACGTAATTGAAATAAAAGTATGATATATTTCTGAGGCAAAAGATGCATTTTTCGTAAAAGCAAAGGTAATAATAATAATAATAATAAGCTTTTGAATTTAGGATCACGATATTGGAATCGTATTGACCTGAAACTTTCGATCGGATATTATCCATCGTATATACCGATACGAATCGGAGCTGGATTAGATTAACAAGTTTTAATAACATTGTTAGAAAGGTAGAATGCTTTTATGGAGTACAACAACGGTAACCACGAGGTATCAATCTTCTCGTATTGCATAAATTAACTTTGCACCACGATTGAATGCGATGCAAGTTGAAAGGAGATTCATCGTATGCAAATTGACGATCGATTGTCGAGAACCGTAGGGTGAATTATACCCATGTTGGCCTGCGTTATGGCTGACAAAGGCACGGCTGGTACGGCTATCATCCGAATGCTTTACGAGCCGACGTAATAATCAAACGATCCAGAAAGTTGCAGCTTACAAGTTACAATCATTTATACACGTGCATACTCGTTATATTCGTTCGAAAATATTAAATTGAAGTTCCGTTTTATTATGAAGTGTGATATATATATATGCAATCTTCTTCACTGTATCTATTGTATCGATTATTGTATCGATTTTAATCGATCGAGTTTGATAATTGATACTACGCTTCGCGCCAATTTTTGACCATTAGAAATATTTTAAATCGGGATACAGAATTTATTTAACCGGTTATATTTAAAAACAAGACGAGATATTTTTCTATTTGATTTGTATACATAATAATAAACGGTAATTAATTAAGATAATTCGTAATACAGATTGCGGCAAGGCCATCGATAGGCCACGCGAACGGCAGCACGGTCAGCAAGGTAAATAACAAGAGACGACGATGGCATCTTCAGTCCGGCAATTATATCGAAGCGAAAGGTGGATACTTTTGATCGAACCTTGAACGTTCGCGTGAAGCGATTTTCTCGCGATGCACGATGCTCATCGCGTATCCATATATACTCGGTTGCACAACCAGTCCGGAAACGCTTTATTGATGGTTAATTGTTTGCATTGTTATCTTGCGTCGACATAACGGTTATGGAAATTCTACGGAAAAAAACGAAATTGCCTTTCTAACTAAATCGTAAGCTCTTGGATTTCAATTTCTGTCGTAATTTTGATTGGTTAAATATTTTCCTCACGTTGATTAATTTTAATGAAGTCTAATAGTCTAATCGTTGACATTGGTTTATTAAGATGTGCGATGGCGACGTCGTTGATGGCTTTTTAATCAGGTTTATAAATAATTAATCTATGATTATTTGTGTATTGCATATACATTTCATTTGTTGGTATTTTTTTTTTTATTTAAATTCTCATAAAATAGAAAAAAAAGAAAAGATTTTCTTCTTTACCTTAGAAATATATTAACTGCATCCAATTTCGAATTATGATGTTATAATTACAGAGATTCTTATTATTCGTGTCAATTCTAGATTTCGCACGATAAATTTTACATTCAAAACGGTTTTATGCTTGGATGATTTAGCATTACTCGATCGTTTATAATTTCTCATTATTTTCTTATCTTACGTAAGTTCATTCGAAAATAAATATTATTTATCGTTATAAGTTTTCCTTGGCGATTTTTATTATAAAATTTTATTTAAAATTATTTTATTATATAAAATCGTTATATTGTACAAAATTCATTTATATTATACGAAGGATAGAAATTTAATTTGCGTTTTAATATTAAAAAAAATTCTAATGTTTAAATTTCTAAAATTCAATATTATTTTTATATTGTAAAATATTTTAAATTAACTTTATTTGCAAATAAAATCGATTCGCGCCATTGAACGTCTACTTATACCGACGGTAGATGGCGTTGTTTCAAGCTTTTATACTTCTGTTGTTCTCTACGAGATGGTAATCTCTATCATTTCTACAGTGTTTTCGAGTGTTTAGTGTTTTTCAGAATTTTTTTTATTAAAAATCTTCACATTTTTGTGAATGAAAACATTTTATTGTTTTTATCTCACGTGTACTCCGTTTCTTCGATAATAAAAACTTATATGACGGATCCTAACCTATCGAAGAAATTTCTGCACGCCTGTCAAAGTGGAAACTTATCAAGAGTAGAAACTCTTGTATCCAAATATGATATTCAAGATTGGACATTCTTCCGGCATTTGTCTTCTGGTGATACCGCTTTGCATGTTGCTACTCGTGCGGGTCATTTAAATATCGTTCGATATTTATATGAAACTTTCGAGAAACCAGACTTTAAAGTCGATGTTGCCAATAAAGATGTGAAAAGACCATTGCACGAGGCGGCACAGTTTGCTCGTAACGATATCGTGAAGTATTTAATTGAAAAAGGTGTTTTTTTCTCTTTGTCCAATATTACTTTTCTTTTATATTACTAACACTAAATTATTTTCTTTTAGGTGCAACCATAGACGCATTGAAGCGCGCTGATTGGACACCACTCATGCTGGCTTGTACAAAAACCGGAAACGATGCATACGAATGCGTTGCCGCGCTTTTGAAAGCAAAAGCGAATCCGTTTTTGCGAAATAAAGACGGATGGACACCGTTACATTTGATTTGTCGTTCTGGCAATGAAGATGCGTTTGATTTATTGGTGAGTCAGTTTACTAGATGCATCGACGATCGAAGCAATAATGGCCGAAGCGCTATACACATTGCTGGTAATAATTTTTATGCTATGTATTTTAATATGTATAAATTGAAGAATATTTTAATATCTATAATTATGAATTCTCTAATTTTTTAGCATTTCACGGACACGAAGGTTTAGTCGACCGACTTTTGGCGCTTAATTCGAATTTTCTGAATGCGCGAGATTCCACAGGATCCACTCCTCTTCACGAATCTGTTAAAGGAGGTCATCTAATCGTGACGAAACGATTAATAGATTTGGGAGCTGATGTTAATGCTACAGATAATATTGGCCAAACCATCTTACACGTAGCAGCTATAATTGGAAACGAAGAAGCTGTAAAAAACATTTTAGAAAATTAATCGAGAGTAAGTAAAAAGAAACAGGGGATTAAATAAATTGTTCTCTTTTTTTGATTTCCTTTTTTTTTTTTTTTTTTTATACAATTAGGAAATTTTCTAAACTAGAGAAAAATAAGACTTTTCTTTTTTTTATTCAGAGATTGGTACACATTTATTTATCCTTTTTTCCTGTATCAGACAGTCTTAAAGAAGCATACAAAAATGAAGAAACGGAGGCTCTTAGTAGATCGGAGATACCTAGATTTTACATTCTTCTTGTTCATTTGTATTTTTCTTTTTCTTCTTCTTCTTCTTCTTCTTCTGCTTGTTCTTCGGTCTTTCTCTTCCTTTTCATTTGTAGCGTGCGCAGGCAGGCGATGATTCACGGGAAACTTACGCGTAATTACATGCTAAAACCGTGTCCGTGTATTTTTTTCCTTTATAAACACGTTCGTTAAATATCACTTATAAACAGGGAACATAAATGGTAAAGATCACAGAATTTTTACGAATTCTATGTGAACATGAATCGTGCGCCGGTTTATTTTTCAAAATTTTGTAATTCGATCGTTGTTTTTTGCTTCTTCGTGTCTTTGGATAAAATAGTTCGGTAAAAAGCCGATTCGAAAAATATTCCAATACTTTCAAAGGATGAGCGAGTGGGGAAGGGATGATCGGTGCACATACGTGAATACCGTGGCGAGGGAGCGTTCCTATTTTCGTGGATTTACTTTCCGCAATTGCTTTGAATTTCCTTTCACTCACCGTTCCAATGCATTTTTTCTTTTTCTTTTTCTTTCTTTTTTTTTTTTTTTTTGATCTTTCTTTCCTCTCGTTTAACTTTTTCTTTCTTCCTTTCTTTCTTTCTTTCTTTCTTTTTTCTTTTTTTCTTTTTTGCACGCGAAATAAAAACTTAATCGCTAAGTATCTCGAGGGACGACACGATTGTGGCTGGTTCAGAAAATCGTTTACGCGATGCTGCGGACGAGAGAACAAGGATGAAAAGTAAAGAGAGACAGCGCATACGATTGAAAGGAACGTATCGAAATTGGACAGTACGGACAGGTGTGTCGATATCGATCAGAGAGAGAGAGAGAGAGAGAGAGAGAGAGAGAGAGAGAGAGAGAGAGAGAGAGAGATCAGCTTCGCGTGAAAAGAGGAGAAGGATCGAGATCACGGGCGAGGGGGATGAGAAAGGAGGGAAGGGAAGAGGATGTTAATATTTATAAAACGGCTAAGGATAAAACATGCATCGTACATCTGTCCATCTGATTAATTTTTGCACATTTCCATTCTTGATCTTTTTTCTTTCCCCTTCTATTCTCCAATCTTCTTTCCCCTCTCTTCCGCGTTTGTCTACCTTCGTGTTCTTCTTCTTTTCCCTATGAACTTTCCATTCATTCACGTTTAACAGTAACCTAACGCACGGGACGAGTGCTTGAGTTCATATTTAATCATTTTTACATTCCCTCTTTCTTTCGCCGAACTTACATATTATTTAATCGATCTTTCTTTTTTTTTCGTTTTTTTTCTTTCATCCATTTGTTATCCATATCCTCTCTTTAGTGGAATCGTTTATAAATATCCAATGATTATTTGGGCTCTCATTTAATATTTGTTATTATTATTATTTTTTTTTTTGTTTCCTTTACTTCCTCGCTTAATTTATTTACACATTAACTAATTACGCTTGGGACTTAAGTTAAACCGCCTCACGCATCCGCCATCACGATAATAGTCACTGTAATATCCACTACTTACTAATAACTTGTCTTATCTAGTGTATTCTTTTCTGTTTTCACATCGATCGTCTCGGTCGCCTCTCGTTCTTTTTTTTTTTAACCTCTCTTTCTCATCATTTCCTCATGCACACACAATTCTCACTTTCGCACTTTTCTTCACCGCATTTCTCTTTTTTTTCATTTTTTTTTCCATTTACATTACAACGTGTTCAACATGTACAAAGCCATATATTTACATTATGTACACCTCATTTCGAGATTTTTCCAATGATAATGTTTCTCGCTCTCTTTCTCACACACTCCCTCTCCCCTTTCGCACGCAACAAATCCTCAAACCGGTGCGTTCTCTTTTCCTTTTCTTTTTTTCAATGTGGCCCGCCGGTTACGCCGGTTACGTTGTCAATGCAAGAAAAAAAAAATATATATATATATATAAGTATATATAAACGAAAGAAGGAAGAATAAAACGAAGGAGAGAGAGAAAAAAAAAAAAAAAAAAAAAGAACGGTATAACGCAATTACGCAAATTCGTAAATCGATTGCCTATTCATCCAGGCACAAATACGCTCGAGATTGTTCCCGTCTACTTGGCTCGTAGTAGTACACCTTCCCATTTATCCCCTTCCGTCTCTTTCGATTACGACAAGTCGAACGGATGGAATGTGGCTGCGTTTACGATATATTATCCAGGTAGTACTCGTTCCATGGGCAAGACCTTTCGCTCGTACAAAATTCATAGAATTCTAAAACTCTGTCGCATCGCGGACAGAGGCGTCGGATTCGAGACGTTCGCGAAAGACGCGACGACACAAGGGAGAGAACGAAAATTTATCGCAACACGCTCCACGCTTTCATTCAGAGATGCGCGAATCGAAATTTTAATCGAGTTACATCGACCACTCGGAATCGTATCGTCGTGTCTCACGGTTAAAAAACACTTACGAACGACGCACGAAGGTTTCGCATATCGAATGGTTCAACTCCAATTTTGTATCGTTATTCTTCTAAGAAATCTTCTGTGAAATCGCATAGAGTTATTGTTATTTTGATTAAACGACGCGAAATCTCGAAGACTCGATACGATACCCGATTAACAACACTTCAACACTTGGTGCGTTGCTCTGTAATTGACTGAAAAAGATATCTCGATTGCTCGATTGTTGTTTCCTTATCGTGACGACGAAGGAATGTAAAAGTGGAACGAAAAAAAAAAAAGAAGAAATGTTTAAGATAGCAAAAATTCGATTCTCTTTTTGTGACACGACACTGTCCGGATGATGTTTCGAATGGCGAGCGACCGAGTACAAACTTCTGGTTTTATTCTGGCTTGACGCGAATAAACGAAACGAGACGTTAGAATTTCGTGGCAAAATGGAAATGATATATATATATTTACATACTCGACGTATTTTCGTTCTACCTTTAACACATCGTGGACAGAAACGGTTTCCGGATGCGCTTGTCATCTCAAACTACGCTTGTGCGAAGGATCTCTAAAAACTGGAAAAATCAGGATAACTGCGCGAATGGGTTCTCGCGATGTCAAGAATGAGCAATTTACGTTTCGTAGAAGTCGGAGGAAACGTTCGTAACGCTTAGCATTACCTACGCTGGTACCCTTAAAACGCTGATTATCGCTATTTATAATTCGCCTATAGATTTATTTTCGCCTTAACGTACGATTTGCCGGAGAGAAGGATCACGGCCGGCCCGGCTGAGCAGGGAAATAAATTAAAGAAAAAAAAAAAAAGGAAATGATACGTAAAAAAAATGAAAAAAAAAGAAAAGAACCGAGAGAAAGAGTATATTGAATTCACTGTATTCGCGTATTCCTTTGAACAGGAAACGGAAATTCGAACGCTTTAACCTCGATCGAAAGGACGTTTTACGATTTACTTTAAAATTTAACAAATTTTCTCATATATTTGGCGTAGAACCATGATACGATTAAAAAGAAAAAAAAATAAAAAATAAAAAAAGAAACAAAAGCTTGGGAAAAGAAGAACCTTGTCTCTTTGCAATTAAGTTAACCCAACATCTTCTTTCTCATGTTATATCGGTTCGTGACGAACATCGAGCCAAAAATGGCGCGTCGAGAGAGCTCGACGTTCGTCGCGCCTGATATCACGCTTCCGTTCGTCGACGATGGATCTTCTTTGCAAGCACAAAATTTCGCCCCTCGATTCGATGATCGAATGACAGCGATTTCACCCGATCGATCGTCTCGATACATCTCGAATTTCGTATTTCGTTCAAGCGTTGTTCGCTGATCATCGGATCGTCGGATCTCAACACGAGTTGCTAATTACACATTAGATAACACTCACGGATGATAAAAAATAAATAGCGCGCGGGTTCCCTTAGTTACACATTAGATTACGCGATTACGACATATACCTTTTTGTTCTTTAAAAAATAGTAAAAAACAGTGACTAAGTTTTTTTCGCTTTTTCCATGTCGCTCGGAAAATCGCTTTGTATCACTATATATATAATATATATATATATATATATATTTATATATATATACTTGTATTTCGTACAATTCTCGCCCATTTTTCTCTCTCGTATTTTTTTTTTTTTGTTTATGTATATATATATATAATATCGTTACTGTATACATACATATACATTTATATATATATATATCATTTTTTTTATTTATAAAAATAACATTCTGGGACTAAAACGTAACGTTTCCAAAGCAATGTACAGTGAGGAGCTGGCTGGGACGACCGATAAAGGTACTTTTTTTTTTTTTTTTTTTTTAAACCGCGGTTAACGTTAAACTCTACAAAACTCTTTCTTAAAATGGACATTCCTTTCCGTTCCTTCTTTCTTTCTTTTTCTTTTCTTTTTTTCTGTCTCTGGAATTCGAAGATTTTCTTTTCTTTTCTTTTCTTTTCTTTTTTTTTTTTTTTTTTTCAATCTCACGAATAAATCGTTACCTCCCGAAAGAAGATCGTGTCGCAGAAATTTTTCACGAAAGCTAAATCTGGCGACTTTAGAAGTAACTCTACGGTACGATCACTAATGTAACGCGATAATGATTAATCGAAGTAAGCGTCGATCGATTATTTTAAGATTAACTTTAGTTTTCTTCCTATGGCGAGGTCGATATCGATCAGCAATTCCGCGATATGTCATCGAACGCTGTCCCCCTCCTCCCCCCTCCCCCCTCCCCGTGCCCCCGTGGTTCGATGAAAGTCGAGACATGTTCGAAAGGAAACATGGGCTTCAGATTCCTTTATCGTGTCGTCGTTGATTCCCTTCGGGGATCCAAATCGAATTCTCTCTCTCTCGATCGAATGACGCCGTTAACGAACGATTTTTTTTCCCGCCCTCGTGTTATCCACAAACTTTCTCATCGATCTCGATATGTCTCATTATTATTACTCTCTCGAATCGCTTTTTTTCTTTTTTTTTTTTCTTTTTTTTTTTTTTTTTCGTTAACGAGCGTTGCCAGCATCGACGAGATCATCGAGGAAGAAATTTTCGCCTCGATCTTACGTAAACGCGTACGGAGGACAGGCTTCGAGGATAAATAATCGATAACGAACGGGAACAACGATCCTGAAGAACGGAAGGAAAATAATTAATCTCCGACATTATTTACGAGCGTTAAACGATCATCTCGTACGAATCATTGACAATCCGTACACCTCGAAACCCCGAGCTCTGTAAGCGTTCCCTGTAAGCGGATAATCTTAAGTAAACCTAGAAGAGGACTCGTCACGTTTTATCGTTCTCCGTACGACATCGTATCCGCGTCATTTTGTCAATGAGCCAATTCCAAAGCCCGAGCACAGCTTCGACGGTACAACGACGATTATCGATCAACTTCAACAAGATTGTACGTGATTGTTCTTTCTTTTCTTTCTTTTTTTTCTTCTTCTTTTTTTCCGTAATAATTCACACTATCGTACACAAATCCTCGGCGTTTTTATTTTTTTTTTTTTTCTCGTCACACACTCGCACGATTGTTGAACTGGAGACGACAGACACGTCCGTTGGCGTGGATTTGCGCCACGCGGGTGCACGCAATTCTCGAAAAGGAAAAAAAAATATATATATATATATATAAACGGAAACAGAAACAAAGAAGAGTCGAGAACGGCCGGCTAGGGCCGTGCCCGCTTATGGCTAAGAAAACGCGGCAACCAGTAGTCGCTGCGTTTTAAGTTTGAGCTAGAAACTCGTTCACGATTCTCGTTCATCCGTGCCGAACGCGTAGAGGTCGAGACGCGTCGATCGTATCGTGGACCTTTCTTCGTTATCAGGAACGAACCACCGTTGTTCAAGGTTGAGGGATCGACGATCAACCCCCTTCTTGCGCGATCCTTTCTCGGAAATGAACGTGTCGCGCAGAGATCCGATCCTCGAGTAGTACGACATGGTCCTCGAGCAACGAAGAAGCGCACGATCGTGTTCTTCTTCATCGATCGATTGCCAATTGCCACGAAAACGGCGCGGTCTCGAGAGCGAGAAAGCTTATCCATCATCCTTCGTGCAGGAAGACGAAGAGGACGACAAGAAGACGGCGGGACCGTCCTAACACTCGCTGTACGAAGGGGGTGGCATCCCGCGGCCTGTATACATGTCCGTCTGCGGCTGCAGATGACAGACGACCGTGTGCCCGTCCAGAACCGCGACTGTTCTCGTGTGATCCGGCTGAGGCGGTATACCGTAACTGGCCGGAAGCCGGGGCAGCTCGCCCCTCTCGTACCATGCCTGCTGTTTCCTCAGCTTCTCCCAACAAGTGTTGAGTGTCCTCTCGAACGCGGGGCTGTACTCGTCACAATGGATATTCCCTCCTCCGCCTCCGCGATCCGTCAACGTTTGCCCGTAATGCATGAGATTTCTATCGGTGGCGGGCGAGTAAGGGATCAACGGCCTGTGATCGCCGTAACTTCTCGACGATTGCCTGCTCATGTCGCTCTGCCTCCTCCCATCCTCGTCCGACATGTCCGAGACTTGGATCTCGCCGCCTCCACCCCCGCCTCCCCGCTCGATCTCCTCGTAGACGGGCTCGTCCTCGTTCGCCAGATCCCGCGGCAGGTGCACGTGTTGGCCGTGGTGGGCGTGCAGCTGATGATGGCCCGGCCCGTTCACGCGCCCGTCGATTATCTCCGTGTATTTGTGCTTGTAAGGCAACGCGGCTCGCCTGCCGCCCCCGCCGCCACCGGTCGTCCTGTTGCCGCTCATCTCGTTCCCCTCGTTGATCCCTCTCGCGCCGCGGTTCCGCCCGGAGTGGCCCAGGGTCATCGTGTTGTGCGTCCTGGGCGAGTCTTCCTGCTCGGAACCGCCGTGCCCGGAGTCCCGGGAATACGATTTAAAAGAAATGTTCTGCGGGAGAGACAGATTAAGATTCTCGTGAGTGACTGCGAGATTACGCGACGAGTCGAGGATCGTATACGGTATGCTGATGAAGGGAGAAACACAAAGTGACGATCGACGAGTGTAAATTATGGTACGGTGACGAGGGGAGGAGGGATCGGTGTGGTCGGTGGCGAGCGCGCGAACGAAGATCCCTGCGAACATTTCTGCGGACATTCTTTTCTTCATTTTCGAATCGATCAGCACGTTTACTCGAACGGAAATGGTTTTTTCGTTCGACCGCAAAATCGCGAGAAGATCGCGAGAATTACAAGGATCTTGTTCGCGCGAAGTTGTACAAAGGGTGGCGACGAGTCTCATCGAGGACCAACCTCGATGATCTCGGGGATGTTTTTCACAAAATTCCACGAGCTCGCATGCATGGTCGAAGGAACGAGCGAGAAGATTCGGTACGTGCTGTATGATATGTACAAAGGCTATGATCATGAGGAGACACGTTTCGTAGCATCATCATTCTCTCGCTACAGAATGAAAAACGAAAAAGAAAAAGGAAAAAAATACACACACACACACACAACGAGCTACGCGTTCGTAAAAGTACAGGCGTTTTCCTCTATATTTGAAAAAAACGGTTTTATATGTGTGAGTGTACGTACGTTCTTCGCGATCATCGTCGAACTCGAAATCACAACGAACAATTTTCTCTTGAAAAATGTTCTCTCGTTTATACGTTTCCGATTACTTGGTTATAAAATCGCTTCGAGAAAAAAAACGAAAAAAAACTGAAGAGATTCGAAGCGATTTCGAAAACGAATATGATCGCGATTGAACAAAGAAGAAGGGGGAGGAAGGGGAGGGGTTGCAAGCTCTCGTTTGATGGAACATTTTTTTCACCGGAAACGATTTATCCCCACACCTCCATGCGATTTTCGAAGCGGTTTCGGGTCTCTAATCTCGAATCGCGCGAGGTGTCCTCTAAGTGTGCAAAACGTGTCTTCTAGGTGCTTGTCATTGATAAAAAATATAGACCGAGAAAAGGGTTAAAAGAAATACCGAGGACTAGGTATGATGAATTAAAAAACGTGAAAGAGAATGGAATGGAGAGAATAAAAAACGAAAAATGAAAAAATCATGGCACACCATGCAATCAATTAGAGAAACAATGGCGGAAGAACATAGTGAGAGAGAAAAAAAGGAAAGTTGGAACGAAACAACACGACACGAACGAGCGAGCGAGCGAGCGAGCGAGCCTTTTTTTTTTTTTTTTTTTTTTTTTTTTTCTTTTCTTTTTAGCTGCGCTGAATTAGTTACCTTCCACATGAGGTTTTTGTTAAGGTGGCCCCAAGTGGCGGTGGCAGATTTGGGGATATTGGGAGCTGAGGGTAAGAAGGCGTGACGGGCGTAGGGCAGGGTCGCCACGATGTGAGCCTCTGTCGAAGAGGATTCACGTGGCGCTGTTACTGCCGGCTGCCTATCGACAATCGCCCAGCTTCGACCGGACGCCAAGTACTGTAAAAATCGAACCATTCGCCGTTCCCTCTTAACCCTTCGTTTACTGATACGGAATGGGGATGAGATCGAGTGTTGTGTCCTCGATGAATCTGTGTATATATATCTGTGTCTGGATTCAAGTGTTTTTTTCTTTCAAGAGGAATGAACGTTTGGAACATATTTCCTGTTGGGATCCATGTGTGTCCATACGAACGTTTGGAAAAAATTGTTGTGAAGGAATTGTTATGCAGCTACGTATTACAATTACAATTTTTGTAATTTTGTCGTATATAATAACGTAATTGGAAGTTACGTCGGGTCGATGATAGACGATTACCCGCGCGCTGCAATACACGAGAGTATAATACGCTCAGCAGACAATACTCGAAAGATCAAGTGATTAAACATTGGAGACACAATAGGATAATACAATGGAACACCGATGTCTCGAGAGAACATTGAAACGTCGAGTGGAAAGGTTGCCATTATGATCATTAACTTCTCACTAATTGCCCGGCTCGTTCCAATATTTAATTAAAAAAAAAAAAAAGAAAAAAAAAAGAAAAGTATCGCAATTCACCAGTAAACAAAGGGTTACTCGCGAAATCTTTTCGGGCAAAGCACCTTGCTCCTTAAAAAAAATCCACGCGTTCTTTCAATCTCGACGTTAAAAGCTCCGCACGTTTCTTTCTTCGTCAATCGAGAATTTTCTTTCCTTTCCTTTTTTTTTTTTTTTTTTTCTCTCCTCGAAACTAATTAATCCGACGAGGTTACTCGCGATAAATACGGTCGACGTGTAATCGTTCTCGCTAGAGAACGAGAAGGATTAACCGGATTCTCGTGCGCGACAAGGTTTAAAAAAGGAAGGTTCTCTAACCCTTCGAAAGCGTGGCGCATATGGACGAGATAAATCCGATGATATCTCGCGGAGGTGCAGTGCTCGCCGGAAGTGTGGCGGATTTAACTCGTGCACGGGCAAAATCTACGACGCAACGGACTGAGATACGCGACGTGAGCACGCACGCACACCTTGAACGGAAGTGTGCTGCGTTTGTCCTGGACGGAGGGTACGATTTCCAAGATTTTCCCGTTTCCGTTCCTCGAACATCGTGGCGAGGAAATGTGTGAAAATTCTGAAAAATTTAATCATCTCTCTTGATCTTCTCGACGAACGTTTACCGGATATTGGAATTTCTTCGTCCTCTCTCCTCTCTCCTTCATTCATTCAGATATAATCAATTTATTTTAGTAAACTCTCAAGAATTTATCGATCTTGCTCGAACATGATCGATCGGTTCGTTGGTCGAAAGGAGGAGCCATCCGTGATGGAGCAAGGTGAGGTGCAACGGAGATCGGGGGCGCGGGGGGAACGAGTCCTCTTTGTTTTCTTATTGTCCGTAATGAGATAACGTCGGGAACCGGCTCCTCGTTTGCGCGGTTGACGTGGAAGACGACCGGGCCCCGTATCGTACCGATCATCGGCGGTGTCGAATAAAATTACTCCACGCACGACTTGCAAAATCTTTTTGGCAACGAAACCGATGAAAATCCAATTAATTCTCCCCGTTCACTCGGCTAATTATAGATTTTTCGAGTTTGCGTTCTCGATTTAAAGGGCACGCCTGCGTCTCGAACGCGAGCTGGATCGTTAAACGTTTCGATGATCCGTATTGATCCCCCCCTCCCTTGCCTCTCGTCGTGCGAGAATACGCACCTAGTGTTAATTAGCGAAAACGCACGGAGCGAGGGGAGAGAGAGAGAGAGAAAGAGAGAGAGAGAAAAATAGGAAAAAAAAAAAGAACGATTTCTGCGTCTCTTTATGCGTGTACGTGTGCGTATGTCTGCTGCGTTTGCTGCGCGCGTATACAGAGAGCAAAAGTGACGAAGAAGAAGAAGGGTACGTGTGTACGAGTTGTGCGTTGCAACAGGAGGTGTGAGAGAGATGTGAAATGTTGATCGGTTCGACGAGGTTTTTTTCTTTCTCGTCTTTTTTCTTTTTCTTTTTTCTTTTTCTTTTTTTTTTCTTTTTTTTTTTATGTATATATATAGCTTTCTCTTGTCCTCGTGCTTAAGTAATCGGCCGTGTGACAAGTGAGCAGCCCAAAGAGCGTCTCGACGCTTGTGATGTGACGTGCGTTTGACAGGCTGTGAACCGAACCGAGAACATCGATCGGAGAGCGCGAGAATATTTTATGAAAAGGAAAACGAGAGAAAGAGTTAATTCGAGCGCTCTTCGATCGAACGATCGCTTGACAGTGAGCGGCTTAAAGATAGTACTAGATTTCGATTGCGTGGACAGAATTCGAAGAGAAGAAACGGGGGCAAATATCGTATATTCTTATGGACAAGAAAATGTTTTCTATGTGTATATATATATATATCGATCGTATTCTGTCCACGCGATTGGATAAGAATAACATTACACGCTCGTACATTACGAATCTTTCTCAACGTATATACTTCCTTTATGGTCTATGAAAATTCGTTTCAATTTCCTTAGTGACAGTATTACCGGTCGGCTCACGCATCAGTGCCTCGAGAGTATAAAAAGGATAAGCGGCAAACAGGTTTGCGAGGAAGCCAGTGGCTGATACGCTAGAGCAGATGCTATTAGTCGGAATGCAAGATCTGTCTTCTCGAATCTCGCGATGCAAGCTATATTCTATTAATATTTTACGTGTATTTTAATACATATCACGTTAATATTTCAAAAGGTAAAGAATTTTTTCAATGTTTCGTTGCTGTTATTCAAACTACCGTTACGCGAATCGCGTCGATTCGCCGCTAGGGTATCGAGGCGATTCTTTTCCCGGAGAAAAAAGAAGAAAAACAGCGAGCAGACAGAAAATTTGGGGCAGGCCAAAAGTGTAGCAGTTGGGTCGAGAGTCGTCGGAGGCGCAGCTGCGAAACCGATTCGTACGAATCGTAGATGTTACAGATTCGTTACGTCTCTCGTAGCGTGAGTACCCGGCCGTAGAGAAGCGTTTCATTAACGATCTGAAATCATCATGTGAAATAAAATGTGAAGGGGGCGAGCCATCGTCGTGCAACGTCGTTGCTCGCGCTTCGCAATAAAAGTAACGTCTTGTCGCGACATCGAGACAAGAGGGGACGAAAGGAGGAAGGGAAACAGGAGGAGGGTACAAAGTAGCCAGCAACCGCGTTACACCAAACCCAGAGCCAGATAAGAAGCACGAAAATCACCATTGTTAGTAGGAGGGTCTTGCAAATAGTACGTTCGCGTGTTTACAAATGTGCAAAATCGAGCGAGAGAGCGTGCCATGTATTTTTTTTTTTTTTTTTTCTTTTTTTCCGCCTTGTGATCGAGGACCGAATGCTATATTGCTTACCGCGCCGAGAATTCTTCTTCTCTCGTTCTTTCTCGTTTTTGCCGCTATATCGATATACCGTTTCCTTCCTATTTTATCTTTAATAGTGCGTTATGCATCCACGAGAAAATGGGACGGATCTCATGAATTTTTTTAAATAGAGAGAGAGCGAGAGAGAGCGAGAGAGAGAGAGCGAGAGAAACAGTTATATACGAATACAAATTCATAAAAAATCATGGTGTTACGAAAATATTTTTATTTCTTCGGTTTTTCGGGTTTCGTTGAATGTTTGAATTGAAAGCATTTTTTTAATATCTTCCAAGCGCGTTCGAGCTCCACGTTAACAATTATACAACTGCAACAACCCGGAGTTGGATAGAAAAAAAAAAAAAATAAAATAAAAATAAAAAAAAAAAAAGGAAAAAAAATAATAGTGCACATCGTGCCGTGCGAGCGCCGTTTATTTTTGCGAAAACCACGAGGCACGTGCGTTACGAGCCGTTCTAAAATTCGGTGAATTTACAGCGGTGTGCCATGGCAAATTCACGAACAAACGCAACGAAAAAAAAAAAAAAAAAGAAAAAATACAACGGAAAGAAGAAAGAGAGAAAAAAAAAAGTTTCAATGGTATACAATTGTACATATAATTGTCATATATAACGTGTCGTTCATTATATCCAGTCGGCTCGTGTCTAGTAATCTCTACCAAATCCGATAAATTCGGCCCGACAATTGGCAATAAATTTTTTCCAGAGAATACAACGACACAACGACCGCACACATCCAACTGTGTTTATCGTTTCATCTACAACCGAGTATCGTTGTTTTATCGTACAAATCTATGGCATGACCACGTTCAATAATTTTTTCCCTCTCTCTCTCTTTTTCTTTCTCTCTCTCTCTCTTTTTCCCGCTCTTTTTTTCTAAATTTCTCTCTCTTTTTTTTTCCCGCCAAACCAATTTTTGAATATCGTTCTTCACATATTTCCCTCTCTTCCTAAATATACTCGATATAATATATATATTTCTCTTTCTCTCTTCTCTCTCTCTCTCTCTCTCTCTCTCTCTCTCACTCTCTCTCTCTCTCTCTCTCTCTCTAAATTCTCCGCAGCGAGCGCGATAGAGCCGAAAGAGTCGAACGGTTCGTTAAATGCCTTTTTAGCTCGTCCCGTTCCAGAGCCAGTTTTTCGAGGTGGCGAAGCGATTCTCGATGACGTTAAAAAAGTGTTTCTGGCACGCGTCGCTTTTGAGCGGAACGCGCGCCCATTCGAAACGAGTCTCCCTCGACTAGGAGGGTCGAGGACACCCACTTCACAATTTATCCTGTAACAGACTTGGGGTAACATATTAAAAAAAAAAAAAAAAAAAAAAAAAAAAAGAAAGAAAAAGAGAAAGAAGAAAACGAACAAGGGACAAAAAAGTGGAACGGAAAAAAAAAAGGAAACGCGGTTGAATTAGCATTGTACGAGCTACTATTATTAGAATAGGACGATAATAGTTATGTAGTTAACTAGTTGAACAAAAAGTTTCGAAATTCTCTTCATTTTCTTAAACGCTGATCACCGATTACCGAAGAGGAGAAAACTGTTTCTTCCGGAGAACGTATCTTGCGAAACGAACACAAGATAATAATAATTTATCAAAAAAAGAAGACCGAATCGAGTGACTAGATTGAAACGTGATATCGAGAGAAGAAGAGGAAGTACGTATGTAGGAAGAACGTATCGGTGAAAACTTCGTAGAAAAATGTGCGAGATGGCGAAAATAGGTGCATCGTTAAATCGAAGTGGAGGATCCGGCCGAAAAGCTCGGCCGTTAGAATCGTGAAATGGAAACCATTCCTTTTAATCGCGTGAATGATCGTGCAACGGACAAGAAAATATGAGTGGTTGGCTGACATCGCTGGCCGGACGAAAGAATTCGACCGATAAAGGTGCAAAGAACCTTGGCGAACTTATCACAACTCGAATGGTTGACGTTTCATAGAACGAGGGATAGAAACAAGGTGGAGAAAATGCGTTATTAATTCCAGTACCATTAATCATAGTTGCGTTACCGGCAGAAACAAGCGATAGTTAATGGAAACGAAGAATAATTAAAAATAATTAAAAAGGAAAATAGTATTAGAGAGCGAGTCAATAAGAATATACAAAAGAAAACCAGCTTAGCTGAAAATTAATATAAAAGAGTGCCAAAAAGAGAGAGAGAGAGAAAGAGAGAGAGAGAAAGAGAGATCTATTTTCTTTCATTCGTCCTCCTCCTCCGATCAAAAAAATTCCCTATCGTATATCGTTTTCTTTCTCCGTGACAAATTGTACGCATTTGATTATGGAAAAAACCGATCGTGGAACAACCGTGCGATGAAATTGATGGAAAATTTTCTCGGTTTGGTGTAGAAGCGGCTATCGGATACCTTGCTGAGCGGGATGCCTATTGTGGTTGCTAGGTGCCATCATGTGCATCTGGTGTGCCCCGACCGGCGACCTCAGCGACAAATTGTTCAGGTTCACGTTTATCGAAAGATTCGTATTGTTACAGGCGGCGGTCAGGTTGTTGTGATTGTTGGGCGGTGACGTGGTCGTTGTTGTACCCACATTGGAGGCGGCGTGCGGCGACAATCCGGAGCTGTCTGTGGTGGGCGCCGACGGATTCGACGAGGTGTTGTGAGAGCCGAAGTCCTTGCCGCCATTTGCGCCACCACCGCCGCCGCTGGTACCGGAAGAACCACCGGAGCTTCCGGCCACCGTCTTGGAGCACCTTAGGCACTTGGGCAACCAGGAGTGGCGGCGCACGAACTTCCTGTATTCCTTCCTCACCTGCAATGGCGAAGCAAACCCACCCCCCGAACGAAAGGTTGTTTTTTAACGGTGCACAAAGAACCAAGGCAAGTGCGAGCGCGCGTTAGTTTCTCGTTCCTCGTCGCAATGAATTAAGAAAAAGAAAAAAATAAAAAATAAATATAAGAAAAAAAAAAAAGGTAAAAATGAGGAAACAATGAGAAAACAACAAATTTTTCCGGAGGATGATCGATACGACGATGAATATGGATTTATATTATCGAGAAACATGAATCGATCGAGTTTACGAAAGCGTTGGTGCTGAATTTACAGATAAATCAGGAAAAGAGCGGTGCATCCTGCAGTGGCAACCAAAATGTAAATGTTATTATTAAAAAAAAAAAAAGAAAAGAAAAATCAAGATAACGAGCTGCAAAATTAATCTACAGGATCCCGGTTGATACGACGAATAAACGTTGGATGATTTTCGATTGCCACAGCACTTTATTTGAGACATCATTTTGTTGTTATCGTGATTGTTTGCGAGATACCATACGATGTCTAGATTACGTCACGTAATTTAACATGATTCTCCTCAAACGATCCTCTCGCTTATGGAATTATTTGCTACTTATATATAATATACGAAGAATCCGCTTTCGTACATCAGTGCATCGAATTCTCATGTTACAAGATCTTTGACTCGTGAGTAATTGTGTTTAACTATAAACCTTACGATAATAGAAACAGTTTTACAATCTTTATATATATATATATATAAATATCCAATTCGACAATTGATTCTTTGATTTTCTCGGAACATTGACAATAATATATATATATATATTCATTTGCTCTCGAAATCGTTTCGCGTTTTGTTTGATACAAAATTGAAAAATATATGTATATACGCATAATCAATCGAACAAATTATTATATTCAATAATAATAATAATAATTATAATAATTATAATTATCGTAATTAATCGATAACGATAACATTTTCTTCTCGCAATACTAATTGCTCGCTACTAATTAGGATGCCACGCGAATTCTCATTAACGAGAATGCAGAAAGATGAAAGAATGAAGGATGAGGCGAACGAGGCGTTCTTAAACGTCGAAACGCGGTTCAACAACACCGGCGGCATAGACTTTTCTTTTTTTTTTTAAAGTAACGTGGACGTTTGGACCCCGACGTATTCCCTTACCTTCTCGTTCTGAACGCAATGGAACACAAAGATAAACAGCCCCTGCAGGCTATTCAATATGGTGAAGATGTACGCCATCGCTACGGATTCTTGGTTCAAGTAGAGAAGGCCGAAGGTCCAGGTGAGTCCCAGCAGAAAGACAAGGACGATCGCTCCTCTCAGCCATGCCCTATTGATAATTAATAAAATATCATTTGATCAATCGAGATTGAAAAAAAGAAAAAAAAAATCAAGTGGAGCGAAATAATTGCGAGCGATGCTTAAAGGATCGTGAAGAACTATGAAAGAGCTGTGTGAGCTGTCGTCGTATGAGGAGGAGTGGGGAGGGGGAGGGTATGAACGGGCGATAATAAAAAAAAATAAATAAATAAGTGCGAGGGATGAGAAACGAAGAGAAAATGTGAGGGGAGAAAGGGGGGGGGGGGAGTGAAAGGAAACGATCTTTTTACGATCTCGTGCCATCGAAAGAATTAAGGTTAACGTGCTAAATGATGGATGATGGTGTGACTTTAATTCTAATAATTCCAATGCTACATTTGTCACGTTCTTATCGAAATGGAGCGGCGAGAACACGAAAGATTATCAAGGTACGACGTTATGCACCCAACAGTGCACGCAACATTTCGAGCTACGCGACGCTAACTTGTACTAATGTTGCTCGTTTCTACACGCGTGCACGTTGTCGTGTATACCGCTCTCCAACAAAGCATTAGCATCGTTAATGTTCTCGCGTAGTTCCGAAGCGGTTGGCGTCCTATAAGCATCGCACACACCCTTACTAGTTCTCTACTACTTCTCTCCCTTTTTTTTTTGTCCTCTCTTCGTCTTTCGTATATTCATACTCTTTCTCTCTTTCTCTTTCTCTCTCTCTTTCTCTCATTTCTTTTTTTTTCTTTCTTTTCTTTTTTTTTTCTCTCTCTCTCCCTCTCTTCTACTTCTTGATTCTTTTGGTAACGATCTACGAAGACTACCAGATCTACCACGAAGGGGAGGAGGAAACGGGGAAAACGCCGCGGACTACACAGGTACTAGGCAGGTGTTTGTTACTTCTAATCTCGCGCGTATTCGCTAAGCTACTCTCAAATCAGGCGTTTACACCCGAAACTAAAGGGGTAAATACGGCATGCGGTTTAAATCGTCGTTATGTACTCAGAGGAAAGGCAAACGGCGTGACGTAACTAAGAGGAGTTCGGAGAATATCGATCGTCGTCATATGCGTGTGTGTGTGTGTGTGTGTATGCTCTCTCTGTCAAGCATATTATCACGAAGATACTTTGCTAAGTAAGCTGCTTGGTAATTGCAAATTGCTCAGGCTCTCGTTTAATAAATATGGAATAACACACATATATATATATTACATATGTATATGTATATAATAATGACATTTGCGATTCCAGTGAGTCGCATCGATTATGAATTCTAATATATATATGATCAGCGTGTTGTGAACTTTTCTTCGCGTACAAACTACTATGTTCTACCTTCTACATTCGTAAGAAATGTATAATAAAAGTAAAAAAAAAAAATGTATATATATATATATATATATGTGTATATATATATATATACACATATATAATGATAGTAAAGAAACAGTAATGTAAACGGTAGCATTGAATGAAAGACGCAAGAGATGGATAAAAACAGTGAATGTGTTAAATGATGAAATTAATAGGCACGGATAACGACGATTAGTGTATCGAATGATGTTATAGTGAATGAACGAGAGGTGAGTAATAATAAAAATTGGTAAATATCTTACAAGTGCGCTTGCAATTTGTTGGGAAGAGCATTCTCTTCCTTTCCACTACCAACCAACCACGCCATGCAGAAGAATGTAGAACAGTGTAGACAGAAGTGGGTAGAAGATTTAATACAAAAATGAAACAAGACAGCAAAGTTAGGTGATTGTTCCGGCACCATTTCGATTAATTGATTATTACAAAAAAAAAAAAAAAAAAAAAAAAAAAAAAAAAAAAACTTGTAATCCTTCTGATGCAATACTCGATTCGTATCACTATTCTTTATTTCTTTCTTCATCGCTGCTGTTAATATACGAAATGGAAGAATGTTCGACAACATTTTAATTACGTATAAATTGTTAAGAAAGAAAAAAAAGAAAAAAAAAAGACAATGAAAATGAAATACAAAAAGATAAAAACAAAAAAAAAACAGAAAAAAAATCATAGAGAGAAGAGATGAGTTTTTTTTACTGATAATAAAGCAGCTTCGATAATAAAACGAGTCGAGTTTGCAGGAGAATTTAACTACCATCACCAACATTTCCATATATTCCAGAAATTTATCAAGTTAACACCCTGTCGTTATTACTGTTTCTCTCTCTCTCTTTCTCTTTCTCTCCCTCCCTCTCTCTCTCTCTCTCTCTTCATTCGACATATTTTTTGCTCGTTTCATTTAAATCATAAAAAAAAACATAGAGCGCAAGCTAATTATCATCGTACTCGTTCGATTGTTCGTGCGTCCAATTTTTCGATAAAGCATGACTCGACTGTGACGGCGTATTTATAATTATAATCACGTATATATGCATTTTAACGAGCGTCATATCATAGATACACATTGTATATAATAAATATATACGTATATATATAAATATATATATATATATATATATATATATATATATATACATATAATCGTATAGATATATTACCTAAGATTTACAGCAATACAAGTGGTGTGTCGAACGAACGGAAATCTTGCGGTCATTCCAACACAGTAACTCAATAGAAACTTAAATGTAGAAACGAAAACGAAATTCAGCATGGCCGCCAAAAAGATGCGTGACAATAAAAGATTCTCTTTCGGGAGACACTGTTTAAGCAAGTAAAGCTTGCGAACGTGAACCGAAAGCACCAAACAAACACTTTATATATTCTACTCGACGAATAGGATTCATTATTTTCGTACTTAATCAACGGACGGACTCGATCGATCACTTTTAATATAGAGATACATAATACATATATATATATATGTATATACAAATTTACGCATCATATTTATTAACAAACCCGAAATTTTCACGCTTACCTTGCGCTGGCCAATCGTGAGTGCTCCTTACTCTTCATCGCTACGGTTGTGTTCGCGTGTCGGCACATCATATAAATCGCCATCGAAAGAAATACCAAGTTCGCCTAATAAGAAGAATCAAGATGACAATTTCTGGTATCGAGTATTTAATCCTCAACGATTATGCACGGAATATGTACATATTGTATATTGAATTATTCATACGGGTTCACGTTTCATCGAAACGAACACGCATCGATGCTTTAAAAATTATCATTGTCGTATTAATTTGCAACGATTTGTCTCGTGTCTCCTTCCTCGCGAATCGGACGTCTTACCAATATAACGAGTATCACTGGTCCAACGAAGCTGAAGATGAAGTAGTTGTCCGCTCGTAGCCAGCAATATCGATCGGTTCCGTAACTGAGAGGATCGATTATACAAGAAATGGCCACGACCAGTAATGGAGCACCGTAAGCGATCAGATAATACCAACGTAGCCTTGATTTTTCCGCTTCGAACACCTCGATCAGCATCACGTATAATTGGAACCCTGGAAAAGAAACATTTCAAGGTAGAATCAAATTTTGCCCCATTGAGCCGCTTGTTTGTTGTTCGTCGTTCTAGAATTCGATAAACGGCGGATGCAATGGATAATATTTATGGAATGGATATATAGATACCTTCGAGGAACATCCAGGCGAATGCGCAAAGGAAAAAGAAATGCAATAATCCAGCGACGATACCGCAGACAATTCTCTGGTTCGTTTGCCCGATTCCGCAAACGAATAAAATTTCCGCGATCAACAGGCACACGCAGAGATTCTTGTGGATGGTCGTTCGGTCCGACTGAAAGAAATGGCAAGATTCTCGGTTGAAAATTCGAAATCGATGTAAAATTCGATATCGTGTAGGGTAATAATAATTACCTTCAGTCCGCGAAATAATTGAAAGGTCAGAATTGCTAGAACCAGGCAAACCACGGAAATGATACAGCCGATATAGGTGATGATTTGCAACGCGACCTGGTGAGCTATGTCCAATCTGACGGCGTGAACGTCCATCAGAACGGCAAAATTTGTAAGATGATTGCACTCGCACACTGTGTGAGTCTCGTTGGTTTTCCGTATTTCGCAACCCTCCTCTGACCAAGCGCTGAAAATTAAAAATATTAATTAATTGCGTTAACCTATTTTGTTCTTTGCTTTTTCAATGAAACAACAAAGATAACGAATCACGCGTAAAATACGCGTAATTAAAAAGGAAAAATTTTTAATTACCTTAAGATGTAATCCCAGAATACACAAGTCGGATTGGTAACGTTCTCTATAGATAGATGCTTGAAATAGACTCTGACAGGCTCGTTAAGCTGAATATGCCTTCCTTTGCCTAAAGACGCGGAGATCACTTTGCTATTTAGAAGCCTGGTCGTGTTCCTTTTCGGTAATGGTTGCTGCTCGTCGTTCATGACCAACGATGACACCTCGGCTTGCGGCTGCAAGATCTCCTCAAGCCTGTCAAAGGCCATGAAGACCAAACGGACAATGCCACCCTCGCTGTTCTCTAGCAAAGCTCCTCTAGTTAACTCGACACGATCGTTCGAGGCTGTCCACCTCTGTTGAGCTGCCTCTGTCGGGAATATCTCTAAATCGTCACCGATGTTCCGTGCATCCAACACGCGTACTTCCATCACTGTTTCAAAAAAAATAATATTTATATGTATTTGATCATGGATATCGGTATCGAGCAATAAGTAGAATAGGGATTGCTATCGATGACAACCGAAGAATTTGCTGATTCTTTCTCAGATTATTCCCTATACCTCGACCATTCTGTAATAATCTCTGTCTTTATTTATCGATTTCAAATAGAAATACACGTCGTCCACACGCGATGGATTATCATTGGAATAAAATTTATACCCTCCCGTGAAGGGATATCGAATCTCTGGACAGAGTTAACCGAATTCTACAACGTTCAACAATCTCACGACTATAAAGTTTCGATTCATCTTCTCGAATGAACAATAAAACTAAACGCGCGTATCTATCCGTCCGCCATTTTTTCCTTGCCGGCGTTCCTCTCATCGTGTGTTCCCCATTCGATCAGTCATAAACGTGATGTTGCACGGCTGACGAGAAAAAAATTGAAGGCTAGCCGGCGATAGTAGTTACTTTTCTGTTAGCACGGAAGAAAGAGCACGGTCAGTTAGGGGAATATTATGTTACATGGCATCCGGCCGGCTGTCGCTCATCAAATCCATCTTCTTTTTTTACCCTTTACTGTTATCCTATTTATCACGTGCGGATCTAATGTTGGTGCTACCACTTGGTTCGACCGCGGCGCAGAAACATGCTTCCACCAGCCTCGATCACGACCGCGCGCGCGCCACGTTACTTCCAGGAAGTAAATCAAATTGCTCGTAATTTTCTCGGTGTTTTGTTGTGTTAATACAACAGGGAGAGAGAGAGAGAGAGAGAGAGAGAGAGAGAGAGAGAGAGACAGAGAGAGAGAGAGACAGAGAGAGAGAGAGAGAGGTAAAGCTCGGGTTACAACATTATCCAACCAAGATACCAGAGAATTACGATGGGTTTGGATCTTTGTTTTATCCACGCCGGATATTACCAGCGTCGCATTCCGTAAGATAAGCGATCTAGATTTATGCGACCCGATCCCAAAGTCGGACCTACGATACTTGCACGTCCATTGTGCTAGACAACTCAACGTTAATTCGTTATCCCATCCGCCACTCCTTTTTACTCATCACGAGTATACCTCTCTCCCTCCTCCTATCGGACGATCTAAATTAGTTCGTGGGTAATTTTTACCATTCAAATACCACGCGTGTACGCGTGCTTACGATGATAATTCCTGACTAATTCCGGAGATCAACGATCTCCGCCTCGAATTCCCAATTACGTTTCGCCACGGAATGGAACTCGCGAGATGTAATTTCCCAACTCTTCTTCCCAACGTACTTCCCCACTCCCCTTGGTTTCTCTCTTCTAATTCAACAAGTAAAAATATTATATACAGTTACTTACGTATGTTCCTTCCCTCGTGAGTGATCGTTTTCTCGTGCATCAACGTGTCGGCCAGCAAAAACGCGTTCTCCTCGAGGCCGATCAATAAAGAGGTCGCGACTCTCATCTGCTCCTGATGGCTCAGATCCTTCCAGGACGCCATTTGCGCCTTGTCCAGCAGGTTGCTACCCGTCCTCACGACACCTTGGAGCAGCTCGGTCACGCTCACCTCCCTCTGATTCGCGTCCTGATACGTTCTTATATCCTGCGCCATCTTCTCCGCCATGTTCTTGATGATCTTGGTCGTGATCATCATGTCGCCACCGTAAAGCCCTCTGCTGTTGTTGGTCACCTGCGACAGTTCGCGGCTGATCCCGAGGATCACGTCGCCCTCCGTCACCCTGTTCTCGAGCGTGGTGAGCCATACGGAGCGGCACTCGCTCAGATCCGGGCTGTCCCTGTGCCAGAATGCCGTGTCTCCTCTGGCAAGGCATCTCCAACGCGCCAAACCGTTCGCGCCGCCTGGACAACTCTGAACAGCGACATCGCCCGCCCTGGTCGTGTTCCACGACAGGTTCCTGGCTATCACCGGGGGACACACTTGTCTGCCGTAGTCGTACCATTGCCCGTTCGAGCTCGACTCCGGGTATAAGGTACTCGGCACTGCAATATTTGAGTTAGTTACGAGCGTTAGTTACTCGGCTTTAGTTAATGGCGCGGCTTTAATGTGATTCTAGTGTCCGATCCTCGGTGGACCGGCGGGGGGGGAGGGGGCTTAGCTCGCGCTCAACATCGTATCGGGTCTGCGAAATGGAATTTTGGATACCCACGGGTGCTTTAATCTTTTGCACTGATTGTTACAGAGAGTTGGCGAGTTACATCGAAGTCGAAGGTTGGTTAGCTCGATACGATTTATACGCTAGCCTCGATGGTGTTTGGTTCACTTTAATACGCGGTTGCATTTACACCCCGGATACGACTCCCGGGAATACGTGGCCAAAGCAATTGAAAAAAAAAAAAAAAAAGAGAAGAAAGAATCGATATCTTCTAGGGAAGATATCCATTTCAAACCCTATCCCTATCCCTACTTGAAACTCTCTCAAGTTCTGGCGGCTGTCTTTTGAACATTAACCCTTTCGGTTTCGGATCGTGTAACTGTAATTGACAGCTGACAAGCCCTCGGGCGAACGTGTCGACCGTAATCGAGTAGAGAGATGTTTCGAATTACCCCACACGCGTGAATGGATAGATCGTTACAAGCTATATATATATATTATATATATTATATATTTATAATTGATCGAATAAATAATTCATCGAACCTGTCTATCTTATCATCGAACAAATTCGATAATCGAATGGGGAGAGCAATTAGCTCTGTTCTCAAACCTTCAACTTTTGGAGCACCGTCTCTCCTCGACTTGGATGACATAGAATAAACGATACACACGGTCTCCTTATCAAAACGCCATCAATGCTCTTCCCTCGTTCAAGAAGATCTCGATCAAACACTCGAGAACTTACCAGTGGTCCTTCGACTCGTTCTCCAAGGGGCAAAGGTCGACGTGGTTGTGGCTTGAGTGGTCTCGGGAACGATCGGAGGCATCGCCGGTGTATTCGCAGACGGAACATTCGCAGGAGATATTAAGTCTTGGTCCACTTCGACCTCCATATCGAGCGGCGACCTCGGACTGTGAAATGGAACGGTCGTTTGTCACTTTGAAACGATGCTGTTGCCGATCGTGTCGGCCGATGCTCGTCGTCCAACGAGCCAACGAAAATATTCCCTCCCCGATCCGGGAGGAGAGCAACGCAATTCCACTTTTAATGGAACATTTCGGATAACTTTGTTTTTCCAACTAACACAAGGAAAGAGAGAGAATATCCTTCCGTACCGTGACAAAGTTGCGCGGTACGGAAATATCTTTATTATTTCACGCTTCAATTTGGGAAAAATATCATCCACCGTGTATCTTTCGCCGTACCGATATGGACGAAAATTATCACCGACATTTTTCCAATTTTTTTCCCCAAAGAAGCGAAAAAACAATATTTCGGAAACGGAAAATTTTAAAGTTGGAAAAATTAAATATAGAGTCGAAAGGATATGATATAAGTTCGAAAAGCAACGCGTTTCGTACTTCGTAATGCGAAAGTGTTTAAAGTGTACCGACCTTGGAGTGGTGGTTATTGGGAGCGCCGGGGTGGACGGTGCTGGTGGCTGCGGCGGTTGCTGAGCCGAGGGTGTCGTAATCCTCGAGGGAGGCCTGACAGTCGGCTTAGCCGTGCTCCAAACGCTCGGCTGAGAAGTCATGAACCACGGAGGACTCGGACGGGACGTTGTCGTGGTTGTTGCAGCTGCAAATGTTGCGAGTCGGTGTCGTTTTAATTCGTGGAGGGGAACAAAACAAAAGTGAAACGCGCGCCAAAGCGAGGCGAGATACGAAAACAAGGGTTGATGGCGAAAGCTGAAAGAGTGGCTCGCTAACTTTCGCCAGGTTTACCCTCGAAAATCCTGAGAGCTCGTCCACGAGCTTATCGGATTCGAACGCCGAGGATATAATTAAAAAGGAAAAGTAATTCGAGGACGTGGAAGGTAGACTGCAGGCTGGCTGCTCCGTCAATCGAACGACGACGGATATTTTAAACCTCGTTGCGGTTACGTGGATCGTAGCAAGGATCGATCTCTCGTCGATCTCTCGTCGATACGTTTTCTCTCTCTCTTGGCCAGAAACTAACGCTCGTCACTTGTTTCTCGTCGAATCGCCCCGTCACGATGAAAATCGTCTTTGATCTCGTCGATTCAAGCTCACTTTCTTTTTCTTTTTTCTTTTTTTTTTTCCGACTTTCGTTAAACCTTCGTACAAGAGAAGATTAATCGTGACGATAACGATCGCGACGAATGAATATTCAATACATATACACTTTATTTATAAACTCATTACACGGTATCGTGCAATTAAATGATATCGAGTCGCTGATAATTTATCGCGTTATCTCCGCGTTATTATTGGGCCATCGATACGACGGCCATCGATTCGACGATGATATCGAGAGAAGAATGGAACGATCGATGATGGTTCCAGAATTGTACACTCTCTCTCTCTCTCTCTCTCTCTTTCTCTCTACGATTGTCCATTTTCGGATTCTCTGGTCGTATCTCGAATATATATCCACGTACCATAACAATCGTACGGATAGTTGAATGGAACAATCGGTCGAACAATCGGTCACGCTGCGTCGAATCGATCGCGGACGAAGAAATATCCCCGAAAACGAATATCGCCCTCCCGACCGCGAATCGGGGCGAATCGAGTCGAAATAGGGACGACAGGATTAGCCTACCTTGGGACGGAGCCCGATATCGTGACTATATCTGGCCTAAGAGGAGAAAACGATCTTTAACCCAAGATGGCGACGGCGGTTAATCCCTGAACGGGATGGTCCGCGTATTTCGCGGCACTATCTCTATAGAGGTCATCTTTATTGGCCGAAGGGGTTGGAGATAAGGTAAAATACCGGACGTTGCCGATGTCCGTTCACGATAGTCCCGGTTACGCGGGAGAAAGACGGCCGTATGCGCATCGAGGGACGGAGTATCGAGAGACGTGGAGAGAGGGCTTTTCTCTCGCTCGGCGCGGTATCGGGGCTACCAACTCGGGGATCCCTTTACTCCCCTCTTCGATGTACGTCGGTTGAACCGATCTATCGAGCCCACCCCCTTCCCCCCTTCCCTTCTGGATATCGATCAGACGAAGACGAGGCGTTGCGAGTCGTGGGGGACGAACGCAGGAGAGGAGAAGGGGTGACAGTTTATGGTCCAATAAGTGATTGTGTCGGACCGGTGGTTTTGGTAGGTCGTAATCGGGATAAGTGTGAACGAAAGGAAGGGGGAAGGAAGCCGTCTTCGTTCGTTTGTCGTCGGTTTAAGTCTGTTTGTGGATCGTAAAATGTTCAAACATATGCGGTATCTGGGGGTACAACGGGAAGTGGAAGTGCGTATGGGAAAGGCAAGATTTTTGCGAGGATCGGTGGGTGAAGAAAGAAGTAGGAGCGCTTTCGAAGAATCGGGAAGACACGAATTTTTTCTTCCGGAATCGAAGAAATGGTAATCGAGTTAACTGAGACGATGATTCCAAAGAAAATCGAATCGTACGAAAACGTGAAGTTAATACGAGCACGCTTAATGATCGATGGAAAATTAATCGAAGATCGCGATATACGTAATAACGCGAATTGGAATCATCGCCATTTCGTCACACTCGATTCGTTGAGCGTAACGATCGATCGATCGATCGATCGATCGCTTGCAGCAATCTTCCCCCCGCTTCCCTTTCCTTCTCCTCTTTCCACATTTGCCGTGTTTGTTCTTATTAAGGTCGTAGAAGAGTTTCATTACGATACGAAACACGTCAGAGAAGTTGGACGTGCAGCCGCATGCTCCACCGCGTTACCGATCCCCACGATCGATTTCTCGATCGCGAAGATCACGTCTTCGCCTAACTCCTCCAACCCCTCCCCTTCCCTCTTTGCCATCTTTTCTTTTCCTCTCTCCACTTTATACTCCGTCTGTCTCGAGAGTGCATAGCCGATGCAAGCCGCTGGAAGATCTTTATCGGGACACGGGCTCGCAGTTACGTGGGCAACGTGAATCATAAGCGCCGACTTCGGGAAATTCTAATCGATTCTCGCGGTCAGTTGAACTGCTTTTTATCCGCTCGAGACTTAACCGCGCCTCTTAAAAAAAAAAAAAAAAAAAAAAAAAAAAAGAAGAAGCGAATATCGAGAACTTTTTCCTCTGGAAAACGAGATTCTCGGGATGCTTACGATCTCGATTTCCTGAAATTCTAAAAAAAAGTTAAATAAAAAAAATAGAAATGGAAATAAAACGCGAAACATTCGAATTTTCGCGCAATGGACGAGTGCAAGAAAAATATCGAGAAAAAGTACCATTTTACTGTTTTACGCGATACGAAACATATTATCTGCAGATTCTTTTTAAAGATAAAAAAATTCTCTTCAAAAGGATATGAATCAGAAAAGTACGAAAGTATATACTTTTGGGATAAGAATTGTTAATACACGTTGAACGAAAGAAAAAAAAAACGCTGTAAATCGGCAATTAATTATTAATAAACATTTATAATATTGAAACAAATATATTCTTCCGAGCATTTTGCTAAGAATGAACGAATATTTCGAAAACGATGGCGAGGTCGGCGCCTATGCGATTGTTCCCCGGTATCTACGGAAGACCGTTCGTAGAATAAACGATACAGGGTACAGAGATATTACGAAGGGAAGGGCGCGTACAAAAATGGCGGAGTCTTACTTACCGGACAGGCAACGATAATGCGCCTCGAGGTACTTGTGCGTGTTGGGACAGGGATCGCCGAATTGCAGCGTCGATGCAACAATGCTGCAGTTCTGCTGGTCGTTGCACCTGGTTTGCGATTGGTCGATTAACATGACGTACGTACGTACACCCTTACCAAAGTGTACTGAACCATGGATCCTGTCCCTTTTCTCTTATCGTCATTACGGATGCTCGAGGTGGAGGGAGGAAGGATTATTGGGGGCGAAGGGAGAGACTTTTTCGACGAACTTTCGTTTGCATTCGTTGCATTCTTTCTCGCTCGAAGGTTCACGCCTTTCTCCAAGATGCGCGACGATAATAATAATATGAATAATTCAATGATTCTCTGAAATTTATTTTCTTCCTTATTTTCCTCGTTATCATATCATCGTCATCATCCTCGTCGTTGAGAAAACTTGGAAAAATCGTGAACCCGTGTCTCGCGTGTATAACTCGTCGACGAAAGAAGACGATTGAACGGTCGAAAAGATATGTGTGCACCAACCTAGGCAATAGTACTGCGCCTCGATGTACTTTCCGGTTCCGGGACACGGATCTTCCTCGAAAATCTCGCTGCGCACGTCCACCGAACAGGAATTACGATAATTGCACCTGCAATCGTCACGAATGAGCAAAAGAATGTCACCCAAGAGGACAGTAACAAGTCACGAAAGAAGATTCGATGGGATGAATTTCTTTAACGAGAATCAATGGCGCCGATGAGAAGCGAACCATGACGATCTTGAAAAATGTTTCATGATGTTTTCGAGTTTCTTTATATATATATATTTTTTTTTTTTTTTGCATCATTATGAATTATGAAAAATTTTTTCCAAGATATATATATATATTTATATGTATTTACAATTGGAGAACGTATTTTCATCATGTTGAAGGCACGATACGTTCGATTTTTATTTCATTCTGTTATTTCCAAACGCGACAGCGTATCGGGAGGATGTTAGTAACAACAGATGTTCGATACTCACGAGGTACGCGTGTTAGCAAATTACAACAGGACATTGAGTTAGTAGAAACAGAGGTTTGCAGTAGTTCTAAAAGCGCAGTATGCGTTCGTGGTAATAGGACAGATGAACTTGTACTCGCAACGCCGTGCGTCGATTATTTCGTGTTAATGGTATCACGGAGTGTATGTACAGAGATACGAGTATCATGCAGAAAACTAGAATTCCTGGACTCAAAACACGTTGCAAAATTTTGTTGAACGATATCACGTCTTTTCTATACTTTCCTTTCCTTTTCCTTTCTTCTCTGAATTAATTCATCGATTTTCGATGCGTAAAAATGGGGTCGCAGTGTTGAGCGAACAATTTCAATCGATCGATCGTAATTCTATTCTTTCTTTCTTTTTTTTTTATATTTCGACGTATAAAAAAATTGATCAAACGAAATTCGATTGATTGTTGTAAACGTGGCACTTTGTTCCCTGTTGAGTGCATTCGAGCAACGAACGCAAAACTTTCGCGAAAGAAATTTTACGTTACGGTTTTAACTGCTACTTTTACAAGAGATTTCTTCGTTATAGGATATCTTATTACTGAATTCGTGAGGGAGCTTTTAAAACTTTGCAAAATAAGAACACAATGGAACGAGAAAGCATATATCCCTCGACGCGTGAGGGAGTTCGTTTCTACACAGGGAATTTTCTACTTATCGCCGAATCTTTAGTTAGCTTCAAAGATGTTTTCGCTCGCGATTTTAATCCCAAAGACATTCGTTATTCGCGTGGATCGTTTGATTTGAAAATGAACCGTAATCGTCTTAACGGCGAAAGCAGCTTAGCAGGTCTCTTGGAACGGAATCGTTTCATTAAAAATAAATCGACGAGTTTAAGGCGGCATTTTACTCCATACCCACTACTAGAAAACGAGAAAACGCAATCCTATTTTTAACGTTACTAGAAAAATCTTATTGACGCGAAGAAAGGGAGGAAACGAAGGGGCTATAACGAACCGATCGATGACGGAAGTGCAGCTGATTTAATGATCCAACTATCGAGTATTATTAATGCTTTACAGCGCTTCTTTAAAATCAATTTTTCTCCCCCCTTTTTTTTTTTTTATTTCTTTCAATTTTTCACGCCAAGCAATATTAGATATTCGCGCAGAGATATCGGTAGAAAGGTTTTCTCGAATTTTTAAAAAATTATCGATAATACAACGCGATATGTATTTAAGAAATACAATTAATACAATTTCACGAAAAAAGTTCGCGATAAATCGATTAATTAATCGATTAAAAAATTCTTCTCTTTAATAATTTTCTATATTATATCCATAGATTTGAATATAAATATACAATCTCGCGAAATCACGTTGTGTCAACATAAATTTTAATATCTTAAATCATAATATCTCGTTTTCTCGACAATTTGTACGAAATGTAAATAATGTCGTGTATTTCGAAGCGTATTTATATCTCGAGCTCTAATGTTATCGTGTTTATAAATATTCCTATCTCCAATCTTTCCCGCGTATATATTCGTGTATATACGACAACGAGCAGTTCAGTTTCCCGCGTGCGACGCAATAGAACACAAGGCTCGTCGAGCTCCAATTTCGTTCTTTCGTCGAGCCTTTCGTCGCTTCGATCGTTTCCTTTTCGCGTAATGCACGCACGAAGATCCGCCTTGGAATTAAAGTTAAAGTGCGCGCACGATTTAATCTCGATCTGGGGGGGCGGGGGAGGACGAGCCATTAAACCCGAGTGCACGGCCCATTGTTGCGCGGAACATTGTCGTTGCGCAGGTGCAAAGCCCTCGAACCGACACGACCTGTTATCGGTCCAGCACAACGCTATCTCGAAGGATTAATCGCGGCCTCCGCTTTTCGAAATTTCATCGAAATTTCCTCCTATTAATCTCGGCGTCGAGCAAACACGGCGTAGAACGGAAACACGAATTTTTCGTATGCGCGGGACGAGAATTCCCCTCCCCCGAATGGGTGGTGCGAGAACGGAGAACGAGAGGAAGTTAAAGAAAGGAAAGAGTTTCTTGTGGTGGAAGGGAAGGAAGGATTAATTCGCGCGGCTGACATTCGCGAGCCGACGATCGATCCTCGAAGCGAAAGGGCGGGATTCCTCCCCGTTGACTTTGCAAGGGTTCCGGCCACGTCAATTTGTCGTGATTCGAGTGGCGTGTATCGACAGTTGCCCGACCCGGCCAACTTCTGGTTACTTGGTGTAATTGGCCCCGCACGTAGATTACCATGTTACCACGGGAGGGAAGAAAACGGGATCGAAAAGCGTTCCTGTTATCGACAACAATACCAATCGATTTCTCCATTCTCGCCCACCTCGCAAAGTAATCTTTCCCGAGTTTTCAAAACTTTCCCGAATTTATTAAATTGCGCGTGAAACGAGCGGTGAAGGGTGGAAAGAGGAAACAAGGTGCGCGCGTGTTCTCCATTTTTTTCATTTACCCCAACGTCGTCGGGGGTTCGTGTCACGGTGTGACGTCGCTCTCCCCCCTTTTTTTTTTTTTCTCTCTTTTTTCTTTTTCGTCGGGGATCGTCCTTGTTGCTGCACGCGCTCGCCACCGAATCGAATCACCGCTCGGGGTAAACGTAATTTCAGAAGGAATAAACTACGTGGGAACACGAAAAATCGCCATTTCGCGGATGTTGGGCCGCTCGTTGTTGTTATTAAGGCCTTCGCTTTCGCCCTCCCGCTTGCTACACGTTACGCGTTACTACAACCCCTTTCCATCGTTCGTTTCCATCCACGGGGAATCGCGTACGCCCGCGTTGCGCTTGTATCGCGCCGCTACTTTGAGACCGGCTCGTGTGGTGGTCGTGCGCTTTAATCATCGATTTCACGATGATTCAGAGGGCCTTCCGACTCGCGTGGGCCGGCCCCGGATTTAATACATTTCGACCCGTTCACGGCTCCGCCACGGTGGTATTTATCTGGGCCAACCACTGTTATTTTTTTCCCCCAATGCCCGCCGCCGTTTCGCAGCGCGAGAAAGGAGTTTCGAAACGGCGAAAAGCCCGCAGGCGGGATGTTCCGACCGACGTTGGAACTATTTTTCTTTTTTCTTTTCTTTTTGTTTTTTCTCTCTCTCCTCTCCCCTCCCTCCCCGCGCCTTTTCGAGTCGCTTCCCGCCGAATTGATCCCCGCATTACAAAGAAACGGGTATATAATCTATGCATGGAACTTTTGATAGACTCTCGGCATCGGTTTAATGACCGTTTTACGCGTTACAAAGAGTTCCTCTCTCGCTCGTCACCTCGTTTTTCGGCAGTGCATTAAAATTTCAATTTCGATCATCTCTCTTTTTTCTTTCTTTTTTTTTTTTTAAATGTTCCATAAACGGTCTCGGATATATATCGATGTTATAAATAATATTCCGATAGATTAGCAAAGAGGGGTGGATAATTGTATACGTATACGGATGTTTATATAAGAAAATATATAAAAAAGTAATCCGCGCGAGTTGATCGAATTGCGGTTCGAATCGATGTTTGAAACGTGTCACGACATCGCGGAGTGGAATGAGAGAAGATGAAATGATTCGTGAAATGATCGTGCATGAAAAATTTGGAACGTTTCTTTGAAACGTTGTATTTATCGTGATTCGTTCAAAAAAAAAAAAAAAAAAAGGATCAAGGAATTTTCTCCACGAAATCGTTCCGTACGAATCCTGTCTCGTGCGTCGTTCATGCTCGCGTTTTAACACCTTTAAACTTGTATTTACATTCCACGATACGTAAAATTTATACATGGCTTGGGGGAGGAAGGAGGGGTATCCGATAATTCATCGGCGATTACACCGAAACGTCGGATGGAAATGTAATAACGCGCGTAGATCAAACAACAAGATCGGTGGTCGGGATATAGAAGCGAAGGATACAACAGGGGAACAAAATTAATATTTTAATATCGGAGAAAGGGAACGATTAAAAGAAAAAAAAGGAAAAGTTGCTTTTTCTTTTTCGTTGGAAAAGGGACGGTCATTAAAGAAAGAGGAGATTCGATCTAAATGCTGAATAAAACTCGGATCTAAAGTCTTCCGTAAAAGTTTATTCAAATGATAGCTCGAAACCCGGCGTTTTTCTCCTATCTAA